ATATTGGATGACCTTCTTTGTGTTTTCTGTCTTTCCTGCACCGGATTCACCGGTGACAAGGATACTCTGGTTGGTCCCCTCATCAACGAGATTTCGGAAGGCTTCGTCGGCCATGGCAAAAATATGTGGTTTTGTGTCTTCGCGACTTCTGCCTTTGTACATGTTGACATAATCGCGACCATAGATAGGAAGAGGACAGTAGGGATTGACTGTGACCAAGAACAACCCAGAGTACGTGTAGATAAGGTCGGCTTGGTAGCGCATGTGGAGGTTGTGCACAACGGAGGCTTCGTTCAAGTGAGTGAGCTCGGCCATGTCGTCGGCCTTGTCAAATTTGGCAGGATTGACCTTGTCGACCGATTCGGAGTCTACATCGCGTTGCTTCAGGATGTCAGCGTGCGCTCTTTGAGGACAGAATAGTGGGACATACGCTTCCATCGTCACATTGAACTCGTAGTTGACCATCGGCCAAGTCCTCAATGACCCAGCCACGGACAAACGCTTGTTCAGTATCCTTAACCCAGACATAGCGTTTGCCCGAGAAGTCGTTCTCGCCCTCTATGCCTCCAACTTTTTCTTGGGCGCCATCGAGACCCTCTGCTTTGATGAACTTTGGAGCAAAGGTACCTGTCGGCGGTGGACGTATCGAGCCTCGCCGTGAGAGCCCACGTTCTAGTGAGCCAAAGCCGAGCTCTGCGAAGGACTGGTGACGTGCGTGGCCGTTCGTTGCTGGCGGAGACATTGGAGGCGGTAGGACGGAGGAGCGGCTTCGAGCATGTCCAGGAGGTGGACCGGGAGAAGGTGTGGCATTAGTAGCGGTATGAGGGCGATCTTGCCAGCGCTGGCTCCCTGTATGAGTGGCTATAGCCATGTGGAATCTTCACTGTTGGGTTAGTAGTTGCGAGTCTGCCGGAGGTTTCTAGGATGGCATGTGGGCGTGTCGATTGAGCAGTGCAGGGCTCTCAGAGCGGCATTTCCAGAGAATATCGAATTATGTACAGACGCACGCTGCTGACGGTATAGGAGACAGCCTTGCAGACAAGTAGGATATGCCCAGGACGTTGGTCGCAATGCGAAGGGCTGTTGTCGTTAGCTCATGCAGGTGTTTATCAACAAAGGTCTGTTTATCGTTAGCGTCAATCGCGGGCCGCCTTGTTTCAACCCAACCACCCACATCACTCCAAACTTGCACTTTCAAGTTTCCACGGGCCGTTTTGCCAAACTCCGTCCTCCGTCCTCCGGCACTGTCCAACTGCAAGTCTGCTCGTCCGACACTTTCTTGATAAATTGTCGTTTAGCACATCGCGGCGTCGTCACTTTCGTGGACGAGCACTATCTCGCCTCAGTCGAGTGTATAGTCTTCGCTGCGGGCGCGCTTGGATAAAAAGAGGCCGTTTGTCGTCCGACGCACATCTCGTGCCCCTGCCTTTCTGTGTGAGCATCATCGCGCTTTCCTAGAATTCTCGACTACGCACTTGGTTCGCTTTCATCGCGACACAACATCGCGCACAGTATGGCGCACTATCCTCCATGGCCTCCTGCTGCTGGGTCGCCATCAGCGCATCCTTCTGGCTATCCACCACCGCCGCCTCTTCCCCCATCGACTGCAGGACAAACCATGGCTTTACCACCAGAGCTGCAGGCTTTGAATATCACTCCTCAGCAGATGGCTGCCCTCTTGACTCACCTTCAAGCTGGCACTTTTCCCTTTCCACCTCCTCCTCCGCCGCCTCTGCCGCCGCAGGCCTACCAGCCGGCCGCGCCCTTCGCACCTGTCCCTTTCCCACCTCCCGTGCCAACACAGACTGCTGTCGGCCAAAACGCTTTGGCGCCGACCGCCATGCCTCCTCACATGGATATTGATCGCGAGGAGGGCGAAGTCAGCGACGCCTCACAACACGTCAATCGTGCACCGTCTGCGCCGTCTTCTAAGAAGCGCAAGTCGCGCTCTTCTCAGTTGGCCCATCGCACAGCTACCCAAGCCAGTCCATCATCTACCCCCACAAAGAACAACTCAGATGTAAGTCACGGCTCAATCCAACAGAAAAGGGAAGCTGTTTTGCCTTTTATTGCTGCACTGCATCATGAAGGTTTCACCTTCGACGAATTTGTCCGCGAAGGTTTTGAGGAAAACTTACTTCGTCAAGTCTATCAAGACTTGCAGATCCCCATCGTCTCGTCGACAGTGTCTAGTGCGCAGACCCCAGTCACAGAGACCATAGCTGCAAAGGTGACAAGTGCTGCGCCTACTTCTCCTTCTATCGTTCCTCCAAGCAAGGAGTCCAAACCCATTGTTCCTGTCAAACAAGCACCTCCTATGAGCCGTCAGGATTATCTGGCACGTCTTCAGGCTGCAAAGAACAAGAAGGCCGAAGCTGTCCCTTCGAAGCAACCTGTTGTACCTGCAGAATCCGCCACCCCTCCTGTTGTCAAGAATGAGATCGCACCACCGCTGGTCATCATTCCTGCTGAATCGCAGCCTAAACCTGACGAAGCACAGAAACCTGCCACTCCGTCAGTTGCAGCCACCAACAAACAGTCACAAACCACCGAGTTGATTCGTAAGAAGATGGAGGCTCTGAAGGCAACGCAACGCCGCTTGGCCAACAACACGAATGCTTCCACTTCATCCACACCTGGCTCAATTTCTGCGATACATGCTGTAGGTCAATCTCAACCGAAGGCTACACCTACTCCACCTACGAGCAAGACTCCGTTGGCCTCTTCTCAAATGGCACCTGCAAGCTTAATACCTGGTTTGCGCATGTCGACCTCGATGGCGAGTTCGCCACAACCCCAGCTTCAATTCCAAACTGGCCTGTCGACTGCCAGTGCATCACCAAATTCATCAAAAGATCCCACACCACAACCCCCTACTACGACATCCATGCCTATGGTCAGAAAACGCCCTGTAGCATCGGATCTCAACGAGGTCCAAGTTGTTTCTGATCACCATCCCTTCAAAAGGCCATTTGGACAAAGTAGGAAGAATAGTTTCGATGCAGGAATGATCATTCAGGTCAGCGATGATGAAGACATGTCTGATGACGACGATGAGCTGAGCAGTGCAAAGCCCTTGGTCAAAGCCAGCGTAGTTCCTGCTGGCCAGCGTGATAAGAACATCCGCGATCTGCCTCCACTGAGGGACTTTCCTCAACGCTCGGCAGCATTTCACAAGCAAGCAGGCATCTTCACACCGCCCCTCGGTACTCCCGGAGCATCGAGTGATGCCGAAGAGCTTAGAAGGAAAGAGTTGGAAATTACATCTCTTAATCAGAGGATACAAGAGTACGAAAAACGCAAAGCTGCGCTCAAGGCTAAAGCCAAACTCACCCAGGGCCAGCCTCAAACTCCTTCTCAGATTGCAACACCCTCTGAGAAGACTTCTACGCTTCCAGCTCCTGGTTTTGCAGCATCACATGCGCCCACGCCAGCTACGATCAATTCCAAGGAACCAGTTGATCGACGCACTGAGCTCAAGGCCGCCTTAACGGCACGCAACGCCGACATTGATAATCAGAAGGCTAGAATCCTCGAGATGCAAAAACAAATGGCCGATATGCAGAGGCAGTATGACCAAGATATGGAGAATCAACGAAAGCTTCGCGAAGAACTCGAGAGTCTGGATGTCAACACTGAAGGGATGACACAAGCTGAGATGGAAGCCAAGAAGCAGGAGATTGAGAACCTTCAAGACTCAGACCCTATTGGGGACAATGACTTACCGACCACGGAATCAACTCAAACTGAGAACTTGGATGTTTCCATGAGTGAGAGCGGCTCAGACAACCCATCAGACGATGCGGTCCCAAGCAATCACTCAGTTGCAGATGTTCAATCCCCTCAAGGACATAGAGATGTAACAATCTCAAGTCCTGGTCGTGCAAGAGTTCTTGACGACATTCGTGCCGATCGCGCCAAAGCAGAACAGACCAAAACTCAGACTTCCGAGGAGAGCTCAGATTCTGATTCGGGCTCGAGCATGTCTGAGAGTTCCGAATCGGACAAAGACGAAGGCGAAGATGAACATCTGCAACCCAACAACGCGGTGGCGGATGCATTCGCTAGTGTAGAATCTGGCTCTGAAGGCATGAGAAGCGTTGGCAAATCTGCAAGTGCTGAAACCGAGCTCGCCGATTCCCAGGATAGATTGGTATGGCTGTTCATCAGGAACATACCTTTTACGGCAACCAATGATCTCGTGCGCTCTTTCTTCGATGTCTTCGACGTGTAAGTCATCAAGTTGAAATGGCCTCCAATGTGTTCGAGCTGAGCTAACATATATTAGCAAGCGCACTCATCTCCCACGACACCCTACTCGCGACCAAGGTTCAGGCTCCGGCTTTGTCGAGCTTCCGCTCTCACAAGCTGTTGCTGCAATTGATAAGCTAAGTGGACGCCAGATGCAGAACCGCAAGGTCTCTATCCAGATGTCGAAGTTCGAGCCCAAGCTATCGCCCTCACTTTCACCCGCACCAAGCTCTGGCTCTTCTGACAGTAGCAGTGATGACGAGATGGACATCTCGACAGATTCTGATGACGAGAGTGAAGATGGTGTGAATGATGTTGCAGCTACTTCTACTGAGCAGAAAGCCGAAGCCCCTGGTGGTGCATCAGTAGATGTGGCATCCGCTTCAGATGCCTCGGGTGATGAAGATGAGGACGAGGATGGGGATCGAATGGATCTCGAGTCCTCAGACGCATTTTCTGAAGAGTATTCACCAGAGCCTGCTGCTGTACCTGTTTCTTCGCTTCCTCTATCTCAGCCCGACAACACCAGCAGACAAAACCTTGCTGACGATCTAGCGCCTGAATTGCAGCCAACTACCGAGCAACAAACCAGTCTCTCTGAAGCGGTAAGTTCTACCACCAGAATCCAGCGTGTGCTGACAACAGTACAGGCCAACACTGCTCCATCTGCTAGCACGAACTTCAAACCGTACGAGAGTCTGCTCAAGAATTTCAAGGGGTACCGTTACCACCCTGATTATTCTCGTGAAGTCCAGGGTGGATATCGTTCGTTGACCTACAGTCATCAAATTGATCCCAACAAGGAGCTGTGCCGTTATGAAGTTGCATCCGGTGTTTGCAACGACAGTTCGTGTGAATATCAACATTTCCGCGATATGGGTGTTTCTGGTGCGTCTGAGGGCGCGACCTCCTGATTTTCCTTTGTTCATGCATTCATTCATCTTTTCTCCAACAAGCTGCTTCCGATCGGCGACCAAGCGTGCTCTGTGCGACATGGTCCATGATACCTCTATGACACATTCTAGTTCTGTGGTGCGGTAGCTGACTTAGGGCACTGACATTGCAGACGATACTCTTCTCCTTCAAATGGGCATGAACGGCAACCCTGGCCAGAGCGCCGAATACAGGCAAGGCCTGAGGGATATCCTACAAGAGATGAGGGACAATAACAACCTCGAGACGGAAGCTGTTGCCACACGCGTGGCCCAGTATCGAAGAGAGTTCCTCAAGGACCCCTCTAACATACTTGGTTTGAACTAGACGGCCCAGACATCAAGACTCCGATCTTGATAGGCTGCTGACCCGATGTTTCCATTGCCCGCTTGCGCAGAGCGCAGGGGTGAGCAACATATTTTACAACAACACAAGCACGACTGCATGTAGCGGTTCACAATGCTTGCTAGTGCCTGATTGCTTGTCAGGATACGTACGTGCAAAGAGAATTTCCATCAAGGGCATGGAAGTGCGATTCTGAAAATCGTAGACTTTTGTCGGATGGCAGAACGCAAGAAAGAGCGCGGAGAAGCAAGAAGCAGATTGCAGATGGCAGAAGCCGAGCGGAGATGGACGCTCTACCGACAACGCCGGCTAAGCTGAGTGCCTCGCAGCCTCTCTGCCAAAGCCCGCTGTGTACCGGCTGAAATGACATATCGGGCACAGTGGTCCGATAAGGATCGAACACCGATACCAGGGCCTAGCCATACTCAGATAGAATAAACAAAAGATTTTGCCTCAAAAAAAAAATGCATTCTTTATCCCCAACGTCCAGTAATTTGCAAGTGCTCGAAGTTTGCGACGTGTTGTTGATGAGGGCCTTTCGTCATCGGGCGATGATGTCGGTCACCGCTTTCTGCTCGGCGTTACAGTGGCCTCCAAGAAGGCAGGCTCGAGCAAAGACGTGCTACAGCAACGGTTTTGTGAGTCAGGCAAGCGCTCCCGGCGGGCGATCTCCAAGGAAATGCGAGACGCAAAACACAAGTGTCGGAGCGCTCGGCGTATTTAGCCTCTACCCACGTGAAGGGGCTCGGAAGAACTGGAACGATGGCAGAAAGTGACGGAACTACGGTGGCGGGTGCTTCTTGGAGGGACCCTTGCCCTCGCTGGGCCTTCCTTTGGGTGAGAGTCGGGTCTGATTGACATAAGCGCGGGGCTCGCTGGGAGCTTTTATTTCTCCCAACAACAATTGAAACTTGAACCTCTTTCCTACACACATCTCTGTTTTCCCTACACATCTCAGCCCAATCCTCTCAATCCACACACTTCACTATGTCTAGCTCTCTCGACCAGCTCAAGGCCTCTGGCACCGTACGTTCTCACAGCTCAGCTATGCCCCCTGTGGAGGGGTCAAATGCCGACATATGACTAACACTTTTTTCAAGGTTGTCGTCTGCGACTCTGGTGACTTTGCTACCATTGACAAGTACAAGCCTCAGGATGCTACCACCAACCCTTCCCTGATTCTGGCAGCCTCTAAGAAGGCCGAGTATGCCAAGCTTATTGACAACGCTGTCGCCTACGGAAAGGAGCACGCCGATGGCAAGAGCATCGACGACCAGGTTGATGCAGTCCTTGACGCTCTCCTCGTCCAGTTCGGCAAGGAGATTCTTCAGATCGTTCCCGGCAAGGTCTCTACCGAGGTTGACGCCAGATTCTCCTTCGACACCGATGCCAGTGTCAAGAAGGCCCTCCGTATCATCGACGTACGTTTCACCGTGGCATGACTACCATGGTTTGAACGCGACTGACTTTTTCAACAGCTCTACAAGGAGGCCGGCATCTCAAAGGACCGCGTCCTCATCAAGATTGCCTCGACCTACGAGGGTATCAAGGCTGCTCACATTCTGCAGTCCAAGTACGACATCAACACCAACTTGACTTTGATGTTCTCCCCTGTCCAGGCCATCGCTGCCGCTGAGGCCGGTGCTTTCCTCATCTCTCCCTTCGTTGGCCGTATCCTTGACTGGTACAAGGCCAACCACAAGAAGGAGTACAAGAAGGAGGAGGACCCCGGTGTCAAGTCCGTTGTTGAGATCTACAACTACTACAAGAAGTTCGGCTACAAGACCATTGTTATGGGTGCTTCTTTCAGAAACACTGGTGAGATCACTGAGCTCGCTGGCTGCGACTACCTCACCATCTCCGTAAGTCACCAGGACTCTGAAGTTCTCTGTTTCGATATTCTAACAAAACTTCTAGCCCAACCTTCTCGAGGAGCTCTACAACAGCAAGGAGGAGGTTCCCCAGAAGCTCAACGCTTCCAACGCTACCAAGCTCGACCTTCAGAAGAAGTCGTACCTCCACGACGAGCCCGCCTTCCGCTTCGACTTCAACGAGGACCCCATGGCCGTTCACAAGCTCAGCGAGGGTATCAGCAAGTTCGCTGCTGACGCTGTCACCCTCAAGGACATCCTCAAGGAGAAGCTCCAGAAGGCTTAAATTATTTAGTTTTGATGATGGTTTGGGCGATGTGCATATGACGACTGCCGCGACATGACTTTTTCTTTCTCACGTTCAACAAAAAATAAAATACCCCTGTTGTCGTTCTTGTCATATTGATAATACATCTTCCCTATTCCGGAGTCCGGAGGCGATGATATGTGACATGCAATAATATAGCTCATTTTGTTTTACTCAACCAATAACGATGCTTCCTGTCGGGGACTCCATTTGTTTTGTTTGGCTGACGTAGACGTGCGCCGAGGCAGAACAACTTCGAAGTCTTAGGAAGCAGTAGCCGGACTTAAGCCGTGGAGTCCGAAAGTGACGAGACCCGCAGAGCGGGGCTGCTCCGTCGACCTTTGACACTTACCAGCTCGACTCCGCCTCTCTTCGAACAAACCTCAACAACTAGACAAAGCTCAGAAACACACGTCTAAATCAATCAAAATGGTCAAAGCAGGTACGTTCAGACGCACAAGGAGGAATGCCCCATCAATTGCAAATATGTCTCAAGCTCCTAGAAGCAAAAGTGGGGCCAGGCGAACTGGACGAGCTGGTTACATGCACATCCTGTCCACCAAGGTGGCCTTGGAGGCCAACGGCTATCCAATGGTGTTGGATGAGGCTGTGAAACTCCACTCTAGATCCTGGGCCTTTGCTCCCTTGAGCTTGGTCGCCAACGAGCTTGGAAAGATCAAGATACTGGACTCTCTATGTGCTACCAGAGCTTCATCCAGCGACAGAAGCTAACAGGATGATTTGCAGTTGCCGTCCTCCGTGGAGACTCTAAGGTCTCCGGTACCGTCACCTTCGAGCAGGCCTCTGAGGGTGCTAACACCACCATCTCCTGGGACATCACCGGTCACGACGCCAACGCCGAGCGTGGTATGCACGTTCACGCCTTCGGTGACAACACCAACGGCTGCACTTCCGCCGGCCCTCACTGTGAGTATTCTCACTTGATGCAATGACACTGGAAAGAAACAAGTACTCATACATTGGCAGTCAACCCTCACGGCAAGACCCACGGTGCCCCCGAGGATGACGAGCGCCACGTTGGTGACTTGGGCAACTTCAAGACCGATGCTCAGGGCAACTCCAAGGGCTCCGTCACCGACAAGCTCATCAAGCTGATCGGCCCCGAGAGCGTCCTCGGCCGCACCATCGTTGTCCACGCTGGCACTGATGACCTCGGCAAGGGTGGCCACGAGGAGAGCAAGAAGACCGGCAACGCTGGCCCTCGCCCTGCTTGCGGTAAGTTTCTGCCATACGCATCGTGTCTCTCAGATTGGATTGATACTGATTCCACGCATAGGTGTCATTGGTATCGCCTCGTAAGCTATTCACGTTTAATGTCTTGATGAGTAGAGTAGTATTGGAATGGCCGTCCTCGAGATGTGCCTTTTGGAATGTACGGTTGATGATCAAGCCAAAGAAACTATGTCTATAAAACATGTTGCTATACCGTTCGTTGTGACATGTCATGTGTGCCTGGCCTAAGATGCTGAACGCTTGAGCTCCTCAAGGTTTATCTTCATGTTTGGTGTTACGTTTGACACGTTTGCAGCATGGAACCCTGTAAAGCATGTTCCTCGAACGACAACGCAACGTGGACACAGATAACTCTGAGCGAGGCAATTTAGCCAATTCAAAATCTGGGCTTTCGTTCAACAGCAGGAAGCATCGAAGGGCAGCGAACAGCAAAGATGAAGCGGCACTGAATTAGCGGCGCACTGACATTTGTCGGAGCTCTCTCACCCCACATCGCCAGCTGTTCGCAATGTTTCTCGACTCCCTGAACCCTTGGACTCTCTGTATATCACTGCTTTTTATTTACAGAGCAACTGCTTGATTCTGTACAGCTACCCTTCTGCCAGATTCAACCTTGATTTACGGCATTGACTTTTTCTAGATTGCATTTTGCTGCTTCAATCACCCCACTCCAACCCACTGGTGAGCACGAGACCCCTCGAAGCCCTGGCCACAGCCCACACCACCCCTCTCAACTTGCCACTCGATTTCCTTCCAAAGCAGCAACTGATTCAATTCATCGACAGTTCTACCTTCTTCGTCTTCACTATCAACTGTCACCACGATATCATGGCTCTTATGGAAGCTAAGGTCAAGAGCGTGCTCTCTGGAGACACACTTGTCCTACACAACATCAAGAACCCTTCTCAAGAACGCACTCTGAGCTTGGCCTTTGTCAGCGCTCCTAGGATACGCAGAGAGGGTGACGAGCCTGGTGCTTTCCAGTCCAGAGACTTTGTCCGCAAGCTTTGCGTTGGCAAGGTTGTTCGATTCGCCGTTCTCTACAACATCCCCACGCCTTCACCTCGCGACTACGGTGTTATCATCTTGCAAAGCGGCCAACATTTGCTCGACCTCGTTGTACGTGAGGGCTTGGTCAAGCTCAGAGACGATGCTGGTAAAAAGGAGGATACACCACAAGGCACCGAGTTGCTCGAGAGGTTGCAAGCTCTCGAGAGTCACGCCAAGGTCGACGAGAAGGGTCTCTGGAACCCCGACCAACAACGCATCGACAATGTTCAAGACCTGTCAGACCCTCGGGCCTTCTCCGAAGCATACAAGGGTCAGCCCATTGACGCCATTGTTGAACGTGTCCTGAGCGCAGACCGCCTCATCTGTCGTCTGTTGGTCCAGCCCACAAAGCACACTCAAACAATTGTCTTGCTTGCTGGTGTCCGCGCCCCTGCCACTAAGAGAATTAACCCCTCAGATCAATCAGAGCAACCCGCAGAGCCTTTTGGTACCGAAGCACACCGCTTCGTCGAGGAGAGATTGCTGCAGCGTGGTGTTCAAGTCCGCATCCTCGGTGTTTCACCCAACAACCTTCTGGTCGGAGAAGTCAGACACCCTATGGGCAGCATTGCTGAATTCCTTCTCAAGGCCGGTCTCGCTCGTTGCACTGATCACCACTCGACATGGCTCGGTCCCGAGATGGCCAAGCTTAGACAGGCCGAACGCTATGCCCGGGATAACAAGCTGGGTCTTTTCGAAGGTCACGTCTCGCAAAGGTCAGCTGGTACAGGCCAAATCGAAGCCACAGTCAGCCGCGTCTTCTCTGCCGATACCCTTTACCTGCGCAACAAGGCTGGAGCTGAGAAGCGTGTCAACCTCAGCAGTGTTCGTCAACCCAAGCCTTCAGACCCTAAGCAATCACCATTTGGTGCCGAGGCCAAGGAGTTCTTGCGCAAGCGTTTGATCGGAAAGCACGTCAAAGTCACCATCGACGGCAAGCGACCCGCTACTGAAGGATTTGATGAGCGTGAGATGGCCACTGTTACTCTCAACGACGAGAACGTCAGTCTTATGCTCGTTGAGCAAGGATACGCCTCGGTCATCAGACACCGCATGGATGATACCGACCGTTCGCCTATCTACGACGACCTCCTTGCCGCCGAGGAGGCTGCACAGAGCGCTGGAAAGGGCATGTGGAACCCTAAGCCCCCTAAGAAGACCGAATATGTCGACTACAGTGCTTCCGTTGACCAGGCCAAACGCCAGCTCACCCTCCTGTCTCGCCAAAGAAAGGTTCCTGCTGTCGTCGACTTTGTCAAGAGTGGAAGCAGATTCACTGTATTGGTACCTCGTGAGAATGCCAAGCTCACTTTCGTCCTATCCGGTATCAGCGCACCTCGCTCGGCTCGCAACCCCAACGAGAAGGGCGAGCCTTTCGGTCAAGAAGCACACGAATTCGCAAACCGCAGATGCCAGCAACGCGACGTTGAAATCGATGTTGAAGGCACCGACAAGGTTGGCGGCTTCATCGGCCAGCTGTACGTCAACCGTGAGAGCTTCGCTAAGCTGCTCGTCGAGGAGGGTCTTGCTTCGGTCCACGCCTACAGTGCAGAGAAATCTGGCAACGCAAACGAGCTCTTCGCCGCCGAGCAAAGGGCAAAGGAGGCCAGACGTGGCATGTGGCACGACTGGGACCCTTCGAAAGAGGCTGCTGAAGAAGGTGAGGAGTACGACGCTTCTGCTGGTACTGCTGGCATGAACGGTGATGCTCCTGCCGAGCGTCGCAAGGACTACCGCGACGTTGTCGTCACTAACATTGACCCTACCAACGCACGCATTAAGATCCAAGAGATCGGAACTGGCACAGCAGCCTGTAAGTCAAATGGGGTTCTTTCAATGATAGACGTACTAACTTCCAGCCAGTGACCGATCTCATGAACTCGTTCCGCTCCTTCCACATTTCATCGTCAGCCAACAAGCCCCTCGAACAAGCACCCAAGGCCGGCGATTTCGTGTCTGCTAGATTCAGCGAAGACAACGAATGGTACCGCGCCCGCGTCCGCCGTAACGACCGCGAGAACAAGACATCCGAGGTTGTCTACATTGACTACGGCAACAGCGAAACAATCCCTTGGTCGCGCCTTCGCGCCCTCGACCCCACCCGCTTCGGTGTGCAAAAGTTGCGCGCCCAAGCCCTCGATGCCACCCTCTCCTTCCTCCAATTCCCCACCGCCCCTGAATACCTCCGCGAAGCCGTCAACATCATTAGCGATTGCACTGCCGACCGCCAGTTGGTTGCCAATGTCGACTACATTGACCCTCGCGAGGGAACTCTTCACGTCACCCTGTTCGATCCTAAGCAGAGCGACAGCTTGAACGAGAGCGTCAATGCCGATATCATCTCTGAAGGCTTCGCCATGGTGCCCAAGAAGCTCAAGGCTTGGGAGAGAGCTGCTGGAGATGTGCTTGCTGATCTCCAGGCCCGTGAGGCTGAAGCCAAGGAGCGTAGACTTGGTCAGTGGGAGTATGGTGATTTGACTGAGGATTAGATGGTCTTCTGATGCGGCCCCATCATTGTTCGATTCGTTTTTTTTTCGGCTCTTTGGTTATGAGAGATACATACCTTGCAAAAGGACACAGAAAAAAGCAGGCATAGCATTTTTGTTGTTACAGAATTTGAAAATGAAACCTAGTCAGGTTATTGTGTTTTTATGCGTGTTGTGTCCGCCCTTTGCTGAGGCGTGCCATCGTAATGTGAGGTGATAGGTGGTGACTCCTTGTATCATGATCGAAGTCTGTGTAACCAATCGAGCACTTCGACCTTACCTTCCCATAAGACACGTGTACACGAGTTGAGCCAGATCCTTGGTGCTCTTCTCGATTCAGTGATAGGATCGTAGTCTACTGCTGAGTTAGAGAATGAAACCTGCTCGCGAAAACAACAGTAGCGGGCCAAATTCGAGGTACAACCAGGGTTGCACCCACAAGCAGCGCGACATTGAGACAAACAAAAAATCGGGTTGCACATTTCAAATTTCTGATTTTCACCAACTGATTGTTTTAGCAATCCAAACTATGTACATTTTTCCTTTTGTCTCCAGAGTCTCCAAGAAATCATTTCGTCCAAAAGTATGTACCTCTCACAAATGTCCCACGGGACGTTTTACGTGGTTTACGAGGTGATGTTGTAACCAATGCCCAGACCAACAGGGCAGTTTGGAACATTGGCCTGCCATTCAGGACTCATCTGTGCGTACTTGGGCAAGTATGAGTTGGTTGTGAAGTTCTGTTCGCGCTCAGTCAGCTCTCCAGTCCTCCAATTCGGTCGTATAGCTAGAATGGCTTACCTTGGGCAAATAGTAAGTGACTTCGCTGTTAGTATAGTTTCCACCCAGTGAGTTCAGCACCTTGACAACACTGCCAGCGATATAGTCCAGGAAGATCAGATCGACTGTGTCATCAGCGGCCAGGGTTCCATTGACGGGAAGGCTGCCGTTAGCCTGGAAGAAGTTGGGGTATGAGTAGTAAGGGATCTTTGAGTGGATGGTGTCGTCTCCGTCAGTACCGAAATCATCAGTGGTGGTATAGCCAGGGGTTGTGGTCGTCTGGCGTCTGATGATGCGGCCACCTGGGTAGGAGCGTTTGGTAATGAGGTGATCGTGGGTCACAGGAGGATCGATGCAGCTGTCGAGCGAAGGGTTTATTTGAGTAAAGCCAAAGTCTGCAGAGGACAGATCACGCTTAGATGGGTAGTTACCGTTCTCAAGACCTTCGAGCACTTGGCTAGCGAGGTGATAAGGAACGTCAGGAAGGTATTGGAAAGCGTCGGTGAAGGGTGAGACGATGAAGCTCGAATCATAATCGAAGGTTCCCTCGGCTAGATCAAATCTGATGTGACCGGTGTTGGTAACAATGAGACGAGGCTTTTCGGCACGTTCCTTAGTGACAATGGTAGCCGAAAGTGCCGTGTCGAGAAGAGAGTAGATGGAGCCTTCAGACTTGAAAGGTGCACAAGAGAGACACCAAGTTTGAGGAGCGCAGCCGTAGATGCTAGTCAAGTTCAACTCCTTGCGAGTGGCGGTGATGTTCTTGGACACGGCAAGGCCTTTGGTAGTATCAAATGCTTTAGCCTGGCTGCCTTGAGCATGGTACTCGAAGGTCATGCGGTTCCAATCCAGGTAGCGGCGGAAGAATCTCAGGTTTGAAGCATTGGTAGAAGAAGCAACGCTAGCAGAAGCTGAAGCCGTGCCGTTCTTCTGCGCCTTCGTCGTTGGGTTAGGTACTCCCTTGGGATTGGCCTTGCAGTGTGGGTTGATGCCGCTCACGGCCAGCCAGCCCAGTGTCTCACAATATCTTCCACTTTCGAGTCCAACAGACTTATCGTCATAGACTGCAAAGTCACGGATGTGAGTGTGGCCACCGAACATCTGAATAGGTGTGTCGGGTTTGATGGCACGGATGGCCTTGTAGACAGTTTGCAGAGTGTTAGTGCTGCTCTTGAGGCCGACGGGATTGTGACCGATCAAGACAAAGGCATCGACGTTCTTGTGGTTGACAGCGTCAATGAACCAAGACTCCTTGACCATATCGGCGGCTTTGGTAACGACCGAAGCATTGGAGTCACCGGTGAAGTCGAACAGGACACCGAAGGCCATAATTCTAAGGCCTTTCTCGGTCTTGAAGTATCTGTACTTCTTGCCAATGTACTCGAGCTCGCCGGTGCTTGGGTTTCTGATTTGGACATTGCTAGTCAAGTATTTCTCACCATATGATTTGGCAAACTGGTTGAAGGTCTCATAGGCGATGGCAGAGACATAGAGCTCGTGGTTTCCAATAGTGAGAAGATCGTAGTCCAATTGCTCGAAAATTGGGTTCGACAATTGTCCGTTGACACCTCCGTAGGTAGCGACTCCAGTGGCATCGCTGAGACCTGCACCATCGTGAAGATCCTGAACCTGGTAAGCTTACTTCGTCGCCATGTCTCAGCCAAAACTTACACCAGTGTCTACCACCAGAAGATCGACGTCTAGATCCCTTGCCTTCTGTCTCATGTGCTTGACGAAAGAGACATAATCACCCCAGTCTGCACCGTAGTTTTGTTCTCTGATGTGACCCTCGAGCCAGCCGTGGGTATCGGTGGTGTGCAGTACATTGAGCTGACCCCATGCTAATGGGCCGCGAGGTTCGACAGTAGTGTTTTGGGCATCTGGTTGCATGCGTCGTACATGTCTTGTCATGACCACATCTTGCTCTGGGTGCTCACAGCTTTCACAAGCCAGGATCGGAGTGCTGAGAGCCAAGAGGGCTGAGGCCCAAACACTGTTTCCGACACGCATATTGAAAGGTCAGTGAAAGAAAGTGGAGATGAATGAGTAGTCTTTGAAGATGGAAAGAACGATGAAAAGGATGCTTCTCAGAACAGAAGCGTGTTTGCCCTATCAACCTAGCCCTGAGGAGAAGGAGCGAGCTGACTATTTGATACCACCTACCTGCATGAAGGGTTCACTTCAACCTTTTATCACAAGCATGCGCTTCTCAACATGCTTTTTGCCCTCTTGCACAGACTCTTGGTATGCAGGCGGTGGCTGCTATATGGCGGGGATCGCCTCTTTGCTTATCGTCGTGCGGCCATTGATAGGCCCACGTGGTTGGCACGGTTGCGATGCAGAGCGAAAGACTGAAGTCGAGAAAAGCATCCAAGTTTCGTTAGAGGCCGGCCAGATGCCAGTTGAAACTGTTTTTAAGAAGTTCGTGGAACCAGTTTGGCTGCTGATTGCGTTCGATAGATAATCATATATGTTCTCGATGAACTCGTGGGTGGGACAAACAAGGACGAACTGCCTTTCTAGTGCTAGCAGCGCCGCGGCCGACATCGCGTTCTTTCCTCGCGACAACCACGCGCTCATCGTTCTCGACCTTTTCTGCAGATATCCTTCCAACTTTATTCGGTCATCCCAGGTTCTCTGTTTCAATCAAATGAGCGAGATACATTATCTACATGATGAGGCCAATGTGAGCAAGCAACCGATGCTGTCGCAAACTGGAGAAACCACTTGTTTTGACGATACTATATCACGTTGAAGTATGATCGCCGACCCCACTTGCCAATCTTCAGATATCGAGGTCCCACTTCTCGCAGCGATGCACTCCGACTTCAGAATCTATGATAATGCACGAACATACCCAACTTTGGAATTACTGTCCCAGAATTGCCAGCTGAGTTGACGGCTCTCTCTGAGACCTGCTCTGTCTCCCCAATCTGACACAGAGTCACATGTAACCCATCAAAACGCACGATCGTCTCCGGAATTCGAGACGTATCCACTGAAAGCGGTGGACTCACGCCTCTCAGTGGAAGTTGTTTCATGCATCAATATTATCGTGCATCTTTGCAGCCACAAAGAACTGGAGAGCCCCTAGAGAGCCCCTCAGTTGATGGTTCTCGGTGGAATTGATCTGATTTTCGAAAGAACTGTGCATTTGTACAGCTTCACGCAAGACGGGCCTTGATGTTAGGAAGGGCTCAGCCATGTAAGTCTAGAGGCTGACCGTAAGTCTAGAGGCCGCGATTGTAACGTGGGTCTATTCTCAAGTCTGTCCGTAGACTTGTTTGTATGACACTCGTAGATCTAGATAATTCTTGACTTCTAAAGGCCGTAAAGCCACTTATGAGTCTAGAGACCGCTTGTAAGTTTCTTCGTAGGTCTGACAGGGCACTGTAGAGACTTAGCATTTTAGGACGTAGAGATATGAAGTTGCGGCGTAACAGAGCGGCGTAAGTACAAGTGAAGTGAGGTGGCTAGACTACAATTTGCAGGTCGGAAAGCAAAGACTACGGCGCACAAAGGTCATTCAACCGTAAGTTTCAAGACTAACAACAACACCGTAGAGAATTTCTGAACGATCTCGCGCAAGTGTAGCGTAATGGCGTGAGTGAAAGCGTAGCCAGCGCGTTCTGTTGTTAACGAGCAGTTCTACGTGGTCTCTCGTTGCGCTCCTTTTCACACTTTCACAACACGATCGATAAAAGTTCTCCTCTGCGCGTACCTCTACGAGCCGTTCTATTTCACCACGCACCTCGTAAGTCCCGCTTCAGTGCCTACGCGCTCCGACTTACGATCTACGACCTTGACGTTGGCTTACGCTTACGAGTTTCACACTAAGACCTGCGTAACTGGTTCTACGCATCGAACTTACGCATCTACCTTGCGCACCAGACCTACGCGACTACCTTGACGATCTTACGCAACCACAACAATGTCTTTCAAGATCGAGGTTCCCACAGGTGACACTCTTGTCTTGGTGTCGACCGACAGCAGATACAAGTTGCACTCGACCCAGCTCACCCAAGCCAGCGGCTACTTCGCCAACCTCCTGAGTACTGCTGGACCTGCCTTGTCGCGCGAAGGGGCTCGTGCCGGTCTTCGTTTCCTGCTGGTTCTGCAAGACTTCGACGAGGCCACAAACAGACCTATCCACCCGGTCTTCAGACGCGTTCCTCTTGACAACAATGGCCGTGCTCAGAAGAAGTACAGCTTGATGCATGAGGACGATCAAAGCACCCGTTACCGCTCTTCCCTGTTCTCCGACTATGACAGATTGCTGCGGACTTTTGCCAACCAGCCTGTTACTCTTGACGACAAGAGCATCGACACCTTGCTTCCCGATTCTATGGGTCTGATCGAAGTTGCTGAGAAGCTTGACGCTGTAGGTCGCTTGCTGTTATGATCGAGTCACATGCTGACTGTGATTGTAGGTGTCCATGATCGCAAAGATCATCGAGAACCACTTGCTTGCTAAGGGACAGGACATCTTCAAGGCCATCTCGGCCAGCCCTGTCATCTGGATCGACGTCGCCTTCCGCATCCAGTCCAAGGTTCTTTTCAAGGAAGCACTCATTCACCTGACTGGAAAGTACAACGCTCTGGTTGCCACACCACCTGAGGATGCTTTCGTCAAGAAGTACCCCAGAGCACGTTCCATTCTCGATCAACTTGACCCTGACCTCCGCAACCTGCTTGAACGCAAGCACAACATGCTGAAGGAGATCTGTCAGACTGTCGAGAAGAGCGTCAGCACCCACTATCCACCAGGCATCCAGAAGTCTTCTGTTACTGGCCAGGCCAAGACCGATCCCATTGGCAGAATCGACTATGCCAAGGACGTCTTCACCTGGGTTGGCGTGGCACTCTATCGTCACTGGTGGGGCCAGATGATTGCCAGCGTGAGTATCAGCTCCTTCTTTCCCCTATCGATATTATTCTCACCGACTGTGTGCTAGGACGCCACCCACAACAACAAATTCGGCGGCCATGACATCTACACCCGTCTCTTCAACGGCGGTCAGAGCTACCTGACCCGCGAGGTCCAGAGTGGTTTCCACCAGCACTTTCCCATGAGCGGCAAGGGCCAGAAAGTCCTGCAGAACAACGTCGACATCATCAAGGCTGGTGTCACCAAGATCGTGACTCCGTTGATGAAGAACGAGAGTCAGCTCGACATCACCAAGTTCCCTGTCAAGTGGCTGACTTGCATCATCGTCAATGGTGCCGACTACCTCTGGGATCCTGAAGTCGAGCCTGAGGTGGAGCCCGAGCAGGAAACTGAGGAAGGGGCTGAAGATGAGTCTCCAGTTCCGCCAGTCTCGGCAAAGGCAAAGGGAAAGAGACGTGCTGACGAGGCCTTTGGCGAAGCCGGACCCTCATTCGAGCCAGTTGCAAGAGGCAAGGGCAAGGGGAAGGAACGCGCAATCCAGCCATTTGAGGAAGAAGACCTCGGCTTTGACGGAGACGAAGACGCCGAGGGCGAAGAAGTTTGAGCTTCCCAAGATGAGATGCAGCGGGTGGATGGTTCTTGCGACGCACCAACACAGATGCTTACGAACCGAGCAAATTGGGAATAAACAACAATTTGACAAAGACGCCAAGATGATAATGAAGCAAGACGACAGATTAACAAAATGAGGAAGGATAATAAAAGGCGAGGACTTGGAACAAAACGCAAGACCTACCATGCTTGCGGCGCAGAGACGCAACTGCCGAAGGATAAATTGCGGTCTCTGAAATTGCGTATACCCAATACGTTTTACAGTCAGCATCACTATTAGCAACAATGGGACCCTCGTAATTCAATCTCTCTCCTGTTCAGTTTCAAGCGCGACTGCTGCTATCTTGATAGGTTAGTTGCATGTCGAAAAGTGCTAAAGCGATAATGTCGACACAAGAACAAGGCTGTGGCACACTGGATAATAGTAAAAAAAGTGCCTTTGGCTGGTGTATTTTTGGCATTCATAAAACGACAAATTGCCGGAAGAGAGAAAAAGGCCAATTGGTTGATCCCAAAACTCCGGTCGAAGAGTTTCTCTCGTTCGGCCTCGTGATGATGGGGGTGGTGTAGTGACAGCGCGGAAGATGATTTCATAGCCGCTGCATATGTACATGTATCGGGAGAGGTTGGCGCGTTATTGTAAGGTTGGATATATGAGAAGATTGTGACGAGCTTAGTCTTCGTAGCCGGAAGGAGGGTTGCGAGGGCCCTTGGGTACTACGAGTGATTTGTTAGTCGGCATGTTCGGCGCGCAATTGAACAATGTGCTGGATCCATTTGCATGTCTACAGAAGGCGGTTTCCAGGATTGAAAAGCAGAAAACTCACTCGGGTAGGTCAGAGGAATCTGAGGACGAGGGCCGTCGCCGAAACGAGCGCGCATGGGAGGGACGACGAGAGCCATGACGGGACCGACGCTGCCGACGACGATGGACCAGAAGATGGCGGGCTTGTTGCGGGCAGCCCACTTGACGTAGAGACCAGGGGTCGACCAGAATTGTACGGGAGCCATTGTGTGGGTATGGATTGTGTGGAATTGACGGTATACAAGTCGTCGTCAATTGCTTGCTTCAGGCATCGTCGGCGGCGGAGGTGGTCATGGCGCGACTGGAGTGGACTTGAGGCTTGGCGCTGGCAGCTCTCCGCATACGCATTGCGCGTTTACGGAGGACGGAGGACAGCTGGAGTTTCGTGTGTGGTGTACTCGTCTTGTTCGCTCTTTCTCTGTTCAATCGAGATATGGCAAACATGAAGGCCTTCCTGTCTTTGCTCCTGCTGGGCCTCGTCAGCTTGGTCCAGGCATTGAGTTCTACCGGCAACCGTCTGCTGGTAGTCCTCGAGGAAGCCGCTGACAAGTCCAAGTACTCGTCCTTCTTTGGCGATCTTGAATGTAAGTTGTGTCTGGTTATACCTTTCGCAGAGACTTGAACTGATCGAGTCGGAACAAGCCCGCGGTTACTCCATCACATACGAATCACCAAAGTCCAAGAGTCTCTCGCTGTTCAAGCATGGCAACCTCGCATACGACCATCTCGTCCTACTGCCTCCCAAGTCAAAGGGCTTCGGTCCTCAATTGACTCCCAACATCCTGGTCGACTACGTCAACAACAACGGCAACGTTCTGCTCGCCCTCACCGCCGACCAGCCCATTCCTGCTGCTGTTGCTTCTCTCCTTCTCGAGTTCGATGTTACCCTTCCTCCGGAGCGTAGCGCCCTTGTTGTCGACCACATCAACTACGATACCAACTCGGCTGCCGATAAGCACGATGTCCTCCTCATTCCCGCCCCCAAGACCCTAAAGGCTGGTGTCAAGAACTACTTTGATGTCGACGGAACCCTTGCTGTCCCTCGCGCTGTTGGCCAGCTTTTGGGCAACGCCAGCCCCCTGCTCGCCCCTGTTCTGCGTGCTCCTGAGACCGCATACTCGTACAACCCCAAGGAGGAAGAGGCTCTCGAGGACGTCTTTGCTTCCGGCTCTCAGCTGTCGCTCGTCTCCACCTTCCAGGCCAGAAACTCGGCTCGCTTCACTATTCTCGGTTCCGCCGAGATGTTGCAAGATACTTGGTTCGATGCTCAGGTCAAGGCTCCTCGTGCTTCCGAGACCACCAGCACTTCCAACAAGGCCTTTGCCGAACGTCTGTCTGCCTGGACCTTCCAAGAGATTGGTGTGCTCAAGGTCGGCAAGGTTCAGCACTATCTCAACGAGGGTAAAGTCACAGAGTCCACCAACTTGACCGTCTCTGAGTTCCCTGAGATCAACCCTATCATGTACAGAATCAAGAACGATGTCGTAAGTGAACTGTTTAAGGGGCTTATTTGTCTTTTGCTAATACCATCTAGCATTTCTCGATCGAAGTGTCAGAGTACAATGGTGACCGTTGGATTCCCTTCCTTCCTGCTGCTGGAGACTCTCTTCAGCTTGAATTCAGCATGTTGTCTCCCTTCCACCGTTTGACCCTGGAGCCTGTCTCGCCTACCACCAACAGCACCATCTTCAGCACCAGCTTCACCGTACCCGACCAGCACGGTATCTTCAACTTCATTGTCAACTACAAGCGTCCTTTCCTTAGCAATGTCTACGAGAAGCGCACTGTCACCGTCCGCCACTTTGCTCACGACGAGTGGCCGCGCAGTTTCGTTATCAGCGGTGCTTACCCCTGGATCGCTGGTATCGGTGTCACAGCCAGTGGCTGGCTGATCTTTGTCGCCGTCTGGCTCTACAGCAAGCCTGATGAGTCCAAGGCTAAGAAGACGCAATAGTTGCCCTTCTCTGTATGCATAGAATACCTATCTAGATGAGAAAAGTGTTTCCTTTTAATCTTCAAAAAATGTTTTATCGCCACAGATGCTAGCATATCAAATTTGAACAAGCTGCTGAGCTTCAGGTGTTTCGTTCGTGGTCGCGACAGGCTGCGGCAGCTTTCCGCTGTGCCCGCCCCACGTCATTCAATCGCCAGCATCTGTTCATGCTCCATTATAAATCGTCCTCGGAGAACAACACTTTGTTACAAATCGTCTGGTTATATCAGAACCTGCCTCAAACCATACGTGAAGAACAATTGAAGCACCGAATCGTATGTTTTCTCGCATCCTAAATCAGGAATCCAGGATCGCTTGTATGCTTGAGCTATATCATGCTGACCCACCTCAGATCACTTCTGTTGTTCGCGTCCATCCCCATCCTTATATACCTCTTGCCTGAGTCTATGTTGAGCCCTGTGAGACGGTTATCCGCAATTTCAAACATCTTTTCTCAACCCACTGTTCGAAGCATGGCCACAAAAATACCCAAGTCCGTTCATGCTGGACCAGACGACAGCTGGCACGGCGTCATCGACGAGTCGCCCAATAATCCATTCCAGCCAGAGAAGGGACGATATCATATGTATATCGGTCTATTCTGCCCTTTCGCACACCGTGCGAATCTTGTAATTCACCTCAAAAGTCTGCAAGATATCATCGATATCGATGTCGTCAAACCTTATCCCAAGGGCAACGAGAAGGGTTGGCCTGGCTGGCAGTTTCCTGCATCGAATGATGAGTATCCGAACGCTACTGTAGATAAGCTGTTCGGGTCCAAATATCTACACGAGGTCTACTTTAAGGCGGACAAGGACTATAAGGGTCGCTACTCTGTACCTCTTCTTTGGGACAAGAAGACGAATACCGCAGTCAACAATGTATGTTCAGGACACCGCTTGGGTTGAATGTGTCCCATCAACGTTCTAACAATCTGAACAGGAATCAGCAGAACTCCTGCGCTGGCTCCAGACTGCATTCAATGATTTGATCTCGCCTGAGAAGGCAAAGCTGACTCTATATCCTGAACACTTGCGCCAGAGAATCGACAAGATCTCAGAATGGATGCAATCAGATCTCAACACTGGTGTATACAAGGCTGGATTTGCGCCTGACCAAAAAACCTACAACAAGAACCTTCCACCTGTGTTTGGTGCTCTCAACAAGCTCGAGAAGCTGCTTTACGATGGTAAAGGTCCTTACGTTCTTGGTAAGGAAATGACCGAGCTGGATATTCGCCTATACGCTACTTTGATTCGCTTCGATACTGTCTATGTGCAGCACTTTGTAAGTAGTATGTCTCGAGAATATATGAACAGAGCTGATATTACAGTAGAAATGCAATCTTGGTACCATCCGCCATGATTATCCAGTTCTCAACAATTGGCTCAAGGGCATGTACTGGAACCATGAGGAGTTCAGAAACACCACAGATTTCAAGCACATCAAGGAGAATGTCAGTCACCCAACATGTAGACTCAAGGCACATACTGATGAATCCGCAGTACACCAAAAGCCACTATGATGTGAATCCCAAAGCGATCACACCACTGGGTCCTTGGCCTCATATCGAAAAAGGCTATCAAGAAGAATGGAGCAAACTTTCTCCAGGAAGCATTGATATGCCAGAAGTTTTAGAGCATGAGAAAACTTTAGAGGTGTAAGGTGCTTCCTTGTTCGCTGCGTTGTTTTAAACCAAGGCATAAGATTGAAACAAAAATCAATATCAGAGTAGTTCCATGATCCAACTTGATTCTGAAGCACTATGATAATACGCACTATGAATAATACCTGCTTGATGTATAGAAGATAAGTTAAACATTCTATAGTCACAATTAAATTGATGCTGTTGTCGTCGGTCTTGGAGAACAATGCTCGACCTTGCATAGACAAAATGCTTGACATAAAACAGTCTTGCCAAAAGTCTTGGCTTTACATGAAACATCCGACCAGCCAGCCATCGGTGAGGCTTGAGCAAACAAAAGTATCCAAAGACGAAAACACATTTCAATCGATCTCATATTTTCACTCTGTTCTAGTGCACCGACAGTTTAACAACCCTGAGGCGCCAGCTAGAAGATATTTTCACAGCATCTCATCTTCACCCATCAACAGCACCACGATGCAGAACTTTGCCATCGAGGTGCCGGGTGAAGCTAATCCTTTAAACGAGCATACCTTACTCAACGTCCTAAGGTCCGCAGCATCGTCGGATCCTCAGCAAGTCCAATCCGGTGCCAAACAACTTGAACGATGGGAAAAGGTTCCTGGTTACTATAAACACCTACAAAGTGTATTCCTCGACAAATCATTACCATTCCAAGTCACATATTTGGCTATCATCCAGCTGAAAAATGGTATCGAAAAGTACTGGCGCAAGACCGCTGCAAAGTGAGTGGTGCCTTCCCATGACACGTTCATTCCACTTCTACATGCCAAGAATCTAAACTATTTTGGAAGTCATTCTCTTCTCACACATACTGATATCCTTGCAGTGCCGTATCAGCTGAAGATAAAGCGATAATCAGATCTCGCCTACTCCAAGGTGGCATCGAAGAACAAGACCACCGTTTGGCTCTCCAGAACGCCCTTGTCATTGCGAAGGTTTCTCGATTCGAATACCCACAAGATTGGTAAGTATCTTGCTGCTTACTATTATCCAATACTCATTGTACAAAGGCCAGATATCATCAGTACACTGATTGGAGCACTACGACAATCAAAAGAATCACATGCTAATCCTATTCACCTCCCCCGTACATTGCTCATCCTCCTTCATATCGTCAAGGAGCTCTCCGCTGCTCGTCTGCAGAGATCTAGAGTCGCTCTACAGGCTACTACGCCCGAGATTGTACAGGTGCTCGGGCAGATCTATCTTGAGAAAGTACAGTCCTGGCAGGAGGCTCTCAGCAGTGGCAATGGCGATCAAGACACATTGCAACAAACGATGCAATCCAGTTTGTTGGCCATTAAGACTTTGCGAAGATTGCTTGTTGCTGGTTATGAGTTCCCTAATCGAGAGTCAGACGTCCATCAGTTCTGGCAGCTTGCCTCCGCCCAAGTTGGCACTTTCATGAACATCATCTCTGCGCAAGGCGCCAGTCTTCCTGAAGAGCTCAGAGTGCCGCTCGAAAAGCACTTGCTTCAACTATCGAAAATGCACCTAGAAATGGCCAAGGCTCATCCTGCGGCCTTTGTACTCTTGCCAAACTCTCTCGATCTTGTTGGCTCATATTGGGCCCTCATCAAACAGTTTGGTGAAACTTACGGCACTACTTTGTCTCCTGGTCCGTCCAATGGGGACGATGGCGAGCAGAAGCCGTTCCAGGAGAAGGTCGCCCTCTCCGGTCTCAAGCTCGTTCGTGCCTGTATCAAGATGGTGTTCAATCCTGCCCATTCATTCAAGTACAAGCACCCGCAAGACAAGATCGAGAAGGCGGAGGCGATTGCGGCTGTCAAGGAGCAACTATTGACCAATTCTTTCGTCACCGAAGTCATGGAAGTTGTTGTGACCAAGTTCTTCGTCTTCCGACAAGGCGAATTGCAAGAATGGGAGGAAGACCCAGAAGAGTGGGAGCAGAGTTTGGAGGGTGAAAGTGAAGGATGGGAGTACAGCGTTCGACCCTGCGCCGAAAAGCTGTTCCTCGATCTCGCTCTCAACTTCAGAGACTTGTTGACTCAGCCGCTGCTTAACGTTTTCTACACCGTTGCAGGTAAGTCAATATGCGAGTTGAGACTTTTCCCAGCACACAGGTTACTGACAAATCATAGCGCCCGACAATGAAGACGTTCTGTTCAAGGATTCAGTATACACAGCAATTGGTTTGGCTGCCGCGGTCCTGCAGCAGCATCTCGACTTCGATTCGTTCCTGTCTAACACAATCGTTGTCGAAGTTCAAAAACAGAAACCTGGATTCAATATTCTGCGCCGCCGTATTGCTATTCTCCTGGGTCAATGGATCACCGTCAAAGTGTCTGCAGAGAACAGACCACTGGTCTACAAAATCTTCCAACACCTCCTCGACTCGAGTGACTCTTGCAATGATCAGGTTGTCAGAATTACTGCCGGACGACAGTTCAAGAATATAGTAGATGATTGGGAGTTCAGTCCAGAGCAGTTCCTGCCTTATGTTCAAACGACGATGTCACAGTTGCTGAGTCTAATCGGAGAGGTTGACAACATGGAAACTAAGATGGCTTTGCTCAACACGATTAGTGTTCTGGTCGAGCGATTGGAGCATCATGTGAGTCCGGCTCATATACAATAATGATTTTTGACTGACTTTCTTCAGATTTCGCCTTACGCAGAGACGATCATCAGCATCCTGCCTAACCTCTGGGAACAATCTGGTGATGTGCATCTCATGAAACAAGCAATCCTGACCATTCTCTCCCGCCTTGTCACTTCTATGAAGGCTGCTTCCGTCCCCTTCCACCATCTTGTGTTGCCTATCATCAAGGGTGCCGTTGAACCTGGATCAGATACTCAAGTCTACCTGCTCGACGATGCCTTGGACCTATGGGCGAACATACTGATCCAAACACCAGCCCCGGCGTCACCTGAACTATTACAACTGGCCCCATATCTATTCTCGATCTTTGAGCTAGGATCAGAAAACCTTCGTACAGCTCTCGACATCACCTCATCATATTTCCTACTCGCACCATCGGAGATGCTCTCTGATGAGATGCGCAAGCCTCTGATGGCATCTCTGTCTAACCTTGTGGGCTATGTCAAAGCTGATGCTAGCGGAACAGTAAACAACCTCGTCGAGCTTATAATCAGGTCAGCCGAACGCATTGGTGGCGAATCAGCTATCAACACCATCGCTGGCGATCTCATCGAGTCCGACTTCCTTCGCAAGCAACTCAGAGGTCTACATGGTAGCTGGATTGCACATTGCACCACTGGTCCGCTCGCAAAAGAGCCACCTGTCGATGGCATCGTCGAAACAGACTATTTCTCTGTACTTGCACGCCTCGCGATGGGTTCAGAGAACACATTCCTACAAGCAGTACAAGCCGCTGCTCCACCCATTCCTCTTACCGACACAACCAACCAGCCTACCCTTCACGACTCGATGAAGTGGCTACTCGAAGAATGGTTCAGCCACTTCGAAAACATTGGCGACCCATCTCGCCGCAAACTCATGTGTCTCGCTCTAACAAAACTGCTCTCTACCTCGCAGCCATTCATCCTCGGCTCTCTCCAATCGCTTATGACGCTTTGGACAGACATGGTGACTGAGATACGTGAAGATGGCGGTGCAGTCGACTCAGACACTCTAGTCTACGATAATCCTGATCAATTGAGAACCACCGAGGCCGACGTCATCGAAGCACCTGAAGATGAAAGAAGAAGAGCATTGACGTTTGCAGACCCCGTGCATAACGTGAGGACTACACAGTGGATCAAGCATTATTTGCAGCTTGCTATCCAGGCCGCAGGTGGACAGGAGGCTTTCCAGAATGAGTGGCTGGTCAACGTTGATAAAGATGTGATTGCTGCTTTTGGTGCATTGGGTATTATGTGAGTGGTCAGGGAGACAAACAAAAAGTACAACGCGTTTTTCGGGCGAAGAAAGAAGGCGCAAAGGTAGTCATAGTTTCAAAGCACGAATGAATATCGCTGTCCCAGAAGGAAAGCTCTTTCGACATGTTGCTTTCCCTTTTTGATTGATAAATGTGAATGTGTAGGAACAGCTGGGAGTTGCTTGATGCATGCCTTCCGTACGAACAATCGACTTTGCGGAAGGAGTGACCAAGAATCTGCAGATTGAAAGTCATGGTACTCATGTATAAACACGAACAAGAAACCAAAGTCGTAATCGTAACACAAGTCCCAAGATGCTACCAGCGCTATTTCAAGATCGAAGTTCTCTAGAATCTATCTCCCCGAGTTGAGCAACTCCCAAGATGATCTCAAGACGGCAAGACCTCCTTGTTGCGTTTCTACCGTACGACCTCTGCCGCGGTCGTTGACATCTGCAGTCTTAACATCTTCATTGCTTTCCGCTGTTTGTCTATCAGGGACGGGCATTGGCTGCAACCTCCCTTGCTGTGTCCATTCACTTGTTGTCAAGATGGATGCATCATTTCGGTAGTCGACTGCACGGGCAGGAAGGCTTTGTGGGTAGTCCTCAGCCGCAAATTCATACCCCCACCATGTTCCGAAAAGACCGGATCCATTCCTGGTGCTCAGAGCCGCTTCAGCATTGTGTGCAGCCCATAGTCCCACCGTTCTGCAAAAATCGCTGTGCTTGTCTTTAAGCGACTTGCTTGCTGAATGTGTTTTGCCAGGGATCTTGGCTTTCAATGGCAAAGTCTCGCAGAATTGCGTCAAGTGTTGAAAGAAAATACCCTTGAAGGTTTGAGAGTCTTGACTACAGGAGCCGCTTCGATCGCACAGCTCCTCTAGGATGCCGTGTTGACCTAGTCCAGCCCAGCTGGAGGATTTGCGAATTGGCGATTTTGGCTCTCCGGACCAGGACCAGCCGGTGGATGCCATGACATCGCGAATGAGAGTGTGGCCGTCTTGTAGGTAGCTTTCGTTTCCAGTCGCTTCCCAAAGACCTCGCAGGCCGGATAGAATGACGCCTTGATTGTAGGTGTAGACCATCTCGTTGCGATCGTCACATTTGCCTGTGCCGATGCTTCCGTTTTGGCTGTAGCCTTTGATGTGGTAGCCATCGACGTATAGGCCTTGGGCGTTAGTCATGTTACTCTTCTTGAGCCAAGAGTAGCCCTCGATTGCAGCTTTGAGATACTTTGGATCATGTGGGCGGCCCGGCATAGAGCCAAAGACCTGTGACTCAGAAGTCAAGAAAGGGAAATCGATGGAATCACCAGGAGAAGAAAGATACATGGCGACTGAGGCTGAAATGAATAGCTGATTTGTGATCGTGTTCTTGTACGGCAAAAGTCGAGGGTTCCAGATCATGCCGCCTCCACATAGATCATTGTCCCAACCTTTGGAAGCGAGGTCCCAGAATAATCGCGCTCGGTGACTGAAGCCAGGAATGAATTGTGCGCCATGCCATGAAGGCTCTGTAGTATTTCGATATCCGATGGTCTTGATGTTCTCAAGCCACTCCAGAACGGTCCACAGGATATCATCATAGGCTTCATTACGTATACTGAAAGCGTCTTCTCCGAAGTAATAAGCCGCGTTGTGAGAAAAGTACTTGTTGATTATCCTTGAGTAGCGATCATTATCTGTCTTGCTGCTTGCTCGAGCAACAGTTCCGAGTGTGGAAGAGACAGCAGTGTTTATCACTGCTGCTGTCCAATCGATAGCTGAAGGCCAGGTCCCGATCCATAGCTCAAAGTAATGTGATTGCATAACATCCAGGGCGTCTATCATATGTCGAAAGATATTTCTTCCATCTGTGAGTTTGCTTTCCAGCTCAGTATGTCCTGTGGACTCGGAATTTATTTTCAATTGGTGACTCGAGTCCACCAGATCTGGTTGCATAGTCCATGGTTGGGACCAGACACTCCCAGCACTAGATGCGAGGAGACATGCTACTAGGAGAGGTCTATGAACCATGGCACGTGCTCGCTTCGTGTGAAGCGTTGTCTGGCACTCTTTAGCGACGATTCATGGAATTGTGCATGAGGAATCAAGCTACTGATATATGTAGGGGTAACCAGATGAAGAGGAGGACGCGAACGAGGTGGCTTGGAAGGACTCGAAGGAGTCGACGGGTGTGCCAAGGCGCGGCCCTGGCCTCATGATCGACCTTAGCCCTCGTCGTGCTCTCTACTCATGACTGAAGGGTTCAGACTGGTACAACAATCAGACAATGGAGGATGACAAGCAGAAAAGAAGATTGACGAAAAGCATGCGGTCATATGGCAGTATGCATAGATTGATGATGCCAGATGTTTCCGCTATTTCGGAATTCATGGTCGCATGCTTCTACCAGGTGTGCTCGCAAGGTCAGGCATGTATAACATAAATTAGCGGGAGCTGTTTCCTATATCGAGGGTTTCGAACACCCGCTCGGTCACCATACACGCCGGAAGAAATCGACTCAGACGAATTTACCTCGCAACAACATCTCGTGTTGGACATTGTAGCGACGTGGAAAGGAAGGAAGCTGAACAGGTGAGTTGTCGGTCGACAACGGGTAAAAAGCCGCGAGCCTCGGTAAGATAGCTCCATCACATGTTGGCGCGGTGTCGCTTCTAGTAGTTATTTTGATATATACTCCTCAATACCAACGATGTCAAACCTCCAATCGTCATGACCTCTCCAGACTTTGCTGCCGCTCAGGCGCGTGTACTCGCACGACGCGCAGCTGCAGCTCGCCCAACACCACCGCCTTCTCCACCGATCCTACCACCCGCGCTGCTGAACCTGCCACCTGGTCTACGCTCAATCGCTTCCACCACCCTCTCGACTTGGACAACCTTCAGACACAATCCCCCGCAAGCATCTACTCCATACTTCCGCGTTGGTCAGGTCGACGCAGAATTGCTTGACGAGGAGCTTCTACAACTCTTGCGCGGCCAAGTAGGCGATGCCCTGAAATACTTTGGAGGTCACATTGCAGATGAATGGTCATCGGAGATCGGTGCGATTCTCCGAGCTATACTCTGGAAGCTCAGTATCTGGGACCGAGGCACGAGTTATGGTGCCAGTCTACAGGGCTTGAAATACGTCGACGCAAGAACACAACCCTCGAGTATCCACGCTGGCTCCGGTCAAGATCCCACAAAATGGCAAAAGGCCGCGTATGGTCTCATCACAGTCGGGGGCCGCTACTCATGGCAGAAGCTAGAAGATTGGCTCCTTGAGAAAGAAGGCGGCTACGAGGAGCCCACGCCGCTGGTCAAGAGATTGAGCAAGCTTACTGGATGGATTAGCATGACGCACGAAATGGCTGCTCTTGCATCCTTCTTGGTCTTCTTGTTCAATGGCAAATATAGAACACTTGCAGATCGTCTTCTTCGGCTAAGACTTGCTCCAGCATCTGCACAAACGAGCAGGGAAGTCAGCTTCGAATACTTGAATCGACAGCTAGTCTGGCACGCTTTCACCGAGTTCCTGCTCTTCTTGCTCCCTCTCGTTGGTATCAGCCGCTGGAGACGTATACTCTCAAGAGCATGGAGAAAGGTTAGAAACATGTTCAGTCAGAAGGTTGATGAAGAAGATGCCAACACAGGAGGCGAGCTTGGCTTCTTGCCAGAACGCACCTGTGCGATATGCTATCGCGATCAAAATGCTGTGGGCGGTGGGTCAGAAGCAGAAATACTCGCACAGTCAAGCAATACTGGTGGAGGTGTCATTGGAAGTGCCCAAACAGACGTCACCAATCCCTACGAGGCGATACCTTGTGGGTGCATATACTGCTTTGTCTGTCTGGCACAACGCATTGAGGCCGAAGAAGGCGAAGGTTGGACATGTTTGCGCTGTGGAGAAGTAGTAAAGGAGTGCAAACCTTGGAATGGAGATGTTGTGGAAGACATCACCGAGGAAACAACCAACACAATCCCAGCTGGTCAGCCAAAGCCTCCGAGGAGGAAGAGTGTTGGTTTCGCCGATGATGATAGGGAGCACGAGCATGAAACCACCATCGAAGAACTTGACCCGATGCCTATTGATGACCACGAGGAACAAAGTCAAGAGATGGAGGATGGGAGAACGGTAGACTCAGTCTCATGGGTGGATGGCGAGTCCGAGATGGACTTTGAAGATGAAGCCGATTACGACGAGGAGGCATTTTAGTATAATAATGTACAACTATCATGCAAGCATGATCATTCTACAGATGCCCACTGCTTCCGAGCAATCCGTGAATTGATGTCAAGCATTCACAAGCAACTTAAGCAAGCCGGGCCGAAGTGACAGTCGAAAACGTCAATCGCGACTACCCCACCATAAACACCAATACGTCACCTGCACGATATATTTTGGTCACCTCGAGCTCGCTGACTTCTGTCTGGTTCCTTACATCCAACTCATATCACTATTGAGGCTTCATACTGTTGAGCATGGCCAGCACAAGTAACGACTCGTCCTCGCAAGGACTTGATATCAAGAAGGTATGTATGCAAGCAATCAGCCATTCAGACATACCTAAGTTATGCGAAATATGAGCTGACCTTGGAATAGATCGCCGTGATCGGCAGCGGCAGCATGGGTGGTGGTATGGCCCTTCTGTTCGCTGAGAAAGGCTGTCATGTCTCACTCGAAGACCCTTCGGAGGAGGCCATGGATGGCATCATCAAACAAGCCAAAGAGGAAGGCTTCGGAGATCGTATCAGCAAACACAGCGACTACAAGTCACTGTGCGACTCTCTGGACTCGCCCAAGGTCTTTGTCTTCAGTTTGCCGCATGGCAGTGTGGGAGATGGCGTTCTTGGTGGCCTCATGCCTTACCTTGAGAAGGGAGACATCATCATTGATTGTGGTAACGAGCACTGGAAAAACACGGAGAGAAGACAGGGCAAGTGTGTTGTCAGAGGTATCAGGTACATCGGCTGTGGTGTCTCTGGAGGCTATCAAGCTGCACGTCGGTATGTTACCCTGGTCCATCTTCAGAATTTGATCTGACATAGCTCGCAGTGGCCCCTCAATGTGCCCCGGAGCCGATGATGAGTCTCTCGACCTAGTGCTTCCCTTCCTGCGCAAGGTCGCAGCAAAGGATCCCAAGGGAAGACCATGTGTCGGAAAAGCCGGTACAGGAGGTGCTGGTCACTATGTGAAGATGATCCACAACGGCATCGAGCACGGCATGATGAGCGCTATTTCGGAAGCATGGGGCATCATGAGAACTGGCCTTGGTATGTCGGAAGATGAGATTGGCGATGTCTTCGAAAAGTGGAACAACGAAGGAGAATTGGTAAGATGGCATGCACCTCATGCGATAGCTGTGTGCTGACGTCCAACAGCAAGGTACTTTCCTGGTGAAAATTGGTGCCGATATCTGCCGTACCAAGGACCCTAAGAATGGCGAACGTGTCCTGGAGACCGTGGAAGACAAGGTTGTGCAGGACGTTACTGGAGAGGAGGGTACTGGTATCTGGTCCAACGAAGAGGCTGTTGGGGAGCACATTCCTGCACCAACGCTGAGCTCAGCTCACTTCTTCCGTTTGGCTTCAGCTGACCGTGCCCAGCGTGATCGCGCCCAGAAGACATTCGGAGGAGATTTCCCAGCACAGAAACTGGATGTCAAGGACAAAGCCGAATTCCTGGAAGACTTGCGCAGAGCCACATACACAGCATGCCTGGCAGCCTACGTGCAAGGCATCAATGTCATCGACCACAAGAACAAGGAGGTCCATTGGAACATCAATTTCTCAGAAGTTCTCCAGATCTGGCGTGCTGGCTGCATCATCCAAGCCGACTACATTGCTTCTCTGCTCGAGCCCATCTTTGCTGAGTTCCGCGACAAGGACACCATGAACTTGTTGTTCGAGAAGACCATCGCCAACGATCTCAAGAAGGGTCAACCGGCACTCAAGCGTGTTGTGCTCCAGGCAGTGTCTGGCGATCATGTGGTCCCTGCCATCTCATCCTCGCTTGACTACATCAAGTACCAGACGGGCTTGGAGCTTCCAACACAATTTTATGAAGCTGAGCTTGATTACTTCGGCAAGCACATGTACGACAAGAAGGGTGAGGACCCCAAGGGTGCTCCCACCACTGGCAAGTACCACTTCGAATGGAAGAGAGCTTAAGGAAACCTGGCAAAGCTAGTAACTGAGATTCAGACGACCGAGTATGTACCCAAAAATAATGACATGACATGATATCAATGAACGCCTCCACCGTTTCGAACAGCAAGATACCCGAATGCTCGATGCAAAGATGTTTTCATTATACCTGACAAACATTGTTAGTCGTTGATCTGACTCAAAAATCAAATAGAGTGCAGAAGTAAGGGTGAAATTTCAGATTCCCGATTATAAGCAGCGACGAAGGTATATGTCGATACCAGCGTACCTTTTCCGGCTCTTCCTAAAGATGTATGGGTAATGAAGAACTCATCATTGTAGAGGTGTGTATGTGAATTGCAGAAAGCAAGAAGGTTTGTAGCAAACTTACGTTACCGACAGTCCAGATGGTCATGTCAAATTGTGAGCATGGCCATCTGGCGCGCATGCCAGCGCGTGTTGCAGAGGTTGGAGAAAAAGGTGACGGAAGAAAATTTGGGACGTAGAACGATAGGGCTGAAGGCGGTCGGGAAAGCGGTCCATGCTCGTGCCGAGCGGCGCGTCTGGTGTCAACTGGTGAGGTGTGACGATCCCGGATGCTCCTGATTATCAACCCAAGCAGAAAGTTCGAAGAAGCCACCTCTCTTATTAACGCCCGCATTCTTCGAGATATCGTGTCTTTTCTGACCTTGTTGACTCATATAGCCTGCTGCTTTGCTCTTGCTAGACGTTCTTCTTCCCTTGTTCTCAGACTTCCGCAGCCGTCATTTCTTGAAAGTGCCAACGGCCAAGAATGTGCTGATCGCCTTCGTTTGACCACTTTGGTATGCAACTTACACAGACACTCTAACATCCCTTCTTTACTAATTCTGGTAAGGATAGATATAGTACAGTACAATGCGAACTTCAGTCACCAATACCTTTTATCTAGCAGTCTTTGCACTGCTAGGCTCATCACACGCTGCCTCTTCAAATCCAGCAATTTGTCCTGTAAGCAGCCTCATCAGACATTCTGTTCCTCGAAGAAAGCCAGCTGACTCGAGTATACAGGTCGAGCCTGGTGCCACAGTATCCGATGCTTGCGCGTCATATGCCGACCTTGACAAGCTGAACATCCGCCTGAACCCCGCCTTGCATGACCTCGTGTCCCAGACCGATTTCTTCTCCTACTACCGCCTGAACCTGTATAACAAGAAGTGTCCTTTCTGGTCAGACGACGAAGGTCTCTGCGGTAACATTGCCTGCGCTGTTACGACACTCGAGAATGAGGAAGACATCCCCGAGATCTGGAGAGCTGAAGAGCTCAGTAGACTGGAGGGTCCCAAAGCACACCACCCTGGCAAGAGAGAACAAAGAGAACTAGAAAGGCCACTACAAGGAGAGCTGGGCGAGAACGTCGGCGAAAGTTGTGTTGTCGAGTACGATGATGAGTGCGACGAAAGAGACTACTGTGTGCCCGAAGACGAGAGCGCAAGTGCTAAGGGCGACTATGTCAGCTTGCTCGACAATCCGGAACGTTTCACTGGATATTCTGGCGAAGGTGCCCACCAAATCTGGGAGGCTATCTATCGCGAGAACTGTTTCTCCAGGCCGAGCTCAAGTGCACAAAGCCTGGGTGCTGGTGGGTTGGTTCCGCCTTTCGCTGGCTTCTCGGGAATGCAAGGCCAAGCTGCACAGGACCTCAAGTCTGTTATGAAAGAGCATGGTCGCCAACAAGCTTCGCAAGAAGGCAAATTTGAGGACAACATGGAATTCGACGACGAGTGTCTTGAAAAGCGCGTGTTCTACAGAGTCATCTCTGGAATGCACGCCTCCATCTCGACCCACTTGTGTCACGACTACCTCAATCAATCTACTGGCAAATGGGGTCCCAATCTGCAGTGCTACAAGCAGCGCCTTCACAACCATCCAGAGCGCATCGCTAACCTGTACTTCAACTACGCTCTCATGGCTAGAGCTGCGGGCAAGCTCAAGGATTACGTTCAGGACTACACCTTCTGTACCGGTGACCCCAAGCAGGACAAGCGTACCAAGGACATGGCCCTGAAGGTCGCCAACACCATCCCTGCTGGACCTGAGATCTTCGACGAGAGTGTCATGTTCCGCGAGAACCCACTTGGCGATACCGGCATTAGCCTCAAAGAAGACTTCCGCAACCGCTTCCGCAATGTTAGTCGCATCATGGACTGCGTTGGCTGCGATAAATGCAGGCTTTGGGGCAAGCTCCAGACTGCAGGTTATGGTACAGCTTTGAAGATCTTGTTCGAGTTTAACAACGACCAGCCTGCCCCAGCTCTTAAGAGAATCGAGTTAGTCGCCTTCTTCAACACTTTGGACAAGGTTAGCAATGCCATCAAGGCCCTCGGTAACTTCCAACACATGTTGGCCAAAGAGAAAGGAATCCCCGCTCCAGAGATTGTTGCCGAGAAGAAGCAGCAGGTGCTACAAGAAATCACCGACGATGAAGACGAGCTCGATGACGATGATGCATGGGAGGAAACAAAGCCAAAGCGAAAGCCACTCACTGAATGGGAGAAAGCCAAGGCAGAGGTCTATCTCGTCTGGCAGGTCACCAAGTTTGTCCTCAAGAGCTGGATGGAGATTCCTCAGACAATGTAAGTTCTGCTCTGTTCTTGAAGCGAAAGCGTCGCTGACCTCTTCACAGCTTCATCATCCTCATCACGGAGCTTTCTAGATTATGGCAACGTTGGCTGGGTCTTGAAATCCAACAACGCGCATGGGAGTTCCGCTTGCCCACGATTGATGAGCTATAGAAAGCATCATCAATATAAACAGGGCTACATTGTTCGTGTTTCAGCATATGCATGTCGGTTAAGAACATAGCGTTGGCGTTTAAGGAAAAGATTTGCGAAATCTCTTAGAGGAGTTCGGGATGCATAAATGTGCCGAGCAGTTGATATCACTATCAAGATAGAAGAATGTCACAAGTCGCCTATCGATACAGATCTGACGTCGAACGGTGCGTTACCGTACTTCCTTGGACGTGAATACAGCAAGTAGCAATTCGACCAAGGTCAAGGACTCGAGGATCTTGCAAAGTGCCTCTGTTTGTGGCTCGCTCGGGTCGGCCCTCGATATTGTCATCCTCCTCCTATTTGTATGCCTCGTTGCGCGTGGACAACCCCTGAAAACGTCCTTTGCACCGATAAACCTACTCAAGCCGAACACATCCAAGAGCGAAAGCTACTCGCAACGTCTTTGCAGACGCTTACAGTATATATAGTCTTATGAACTCCTGACAATTCGGTTGCACTACGCATCAGACTCGATCACGCCAGGTGCCCAGTGCTGGTAACGCAAATTCTGCACCCAGAGATAGATTTAGCAACCATGGCAGCTATCTGTTTCATGTCCTTGCACGTGGAATTATAGATTGGACTCGCCGTTTTGGGGTTGTGAGTATGACCGGATGGCCGCGTTTCATCTTGGAGCAAGCCAATATGAGATAAATGTGTCGCGTAGCGTGATGCTGATCGATGTGTACTGTACACATGTTATGTAGCGCGGCAATTCTCTGCCAGAAGACGCGCCCGTCCGCGTGGTCTTTCGCACAAGTGGATAGTAGCGCCAGTAGTACTTTGACGGTTCACCAAAGCCATGGAGGTCGTAAACGGGCACCCCCTAACAGTTGGGCGGTCGTGGTGGAGTTTTGGCAAGCATCCGGTGACGGTTAAACAACCATGGTCCACTCATGGCACGATCGCTAAAGCCACGCCTTTGCGAGTCGAGTGAAACCATGGCTTGATTAGGGTTGGCCTCGTCTAAGCGTGCCGGCAAACACAACATTGTGGAGCGCTAAAGAACGTCGAAGCGGAGAAGATAGGAGAGTTGAGCCAATCACGCAACTGTGCCTGGATACAAGCGGAATGCGTAGCGTGCGTATGAACCTTTTGTCAGTGTCTGGAACTCTGCCCTGCACGATTTTCACACTTGCAGCGCTCCCGGATCGTTGGCGCCCGCCAAAAAGTAGGTGCAGTAGGTGCATTCAAAACGAAGGAGGTGCCACCCCAAGAGAACTTCTCTTGCTCTTTTTCCAAGACACCACCTGTTTCTCCAAGTCATTCCTTGTCACCTCCGAGCGCCTACTCGTCTCAGGACGTCGTGCTTGACACATCTGGCTATCGCTTCCTCTCCTTTGGGCGACACCGTCAGAACCATTCATTCTCTTACCAAGTAACCGCAAGGACTGTGTCCCGGTTAGCCTTCATTCTTTCACAAAAGCAGCCTCGATCACTTTTCGAGACACCAACAAGCTGTGACGTTTCTGCAAGACAGGAACTTGACAAGACATTCTGATCACACGCTCTGCAGCACCCACCCAAGTGAACAAAATCTTGTGATCACATCGGTTCCACGTGTGAGACCTGCTACCAAGTGACACTTTCACTCTCACACCCGGAGCTTTCTTCTTCTTCAAAAAAGTACTTTTGGTCCTTTGACAGTCCAACCACCACTGCTATCAACAAACATGTCGCTTGTCCGTGCTTTCACCACCAGACGGGCTGCCCGCAAGAACTCTGATCTGGATCGTTCTGCCAGCCAGCGCGTCCAGCGTCCCAAGATTTCCGGTCCTATCGAGTTGATCTCGACGACAAACACTCTGGCATACGAGGCCCCTGACATCTTCGGAACCAATCCCATCGCCCACAAGGCAGGAATCCTTACAACCTCGTCCAGCTCCAACAGTCTGAGCTCGATTGAATACAGCGACTCCAGCAGTATCGGCCACCGTTCTGGAGGCACATTCACAGACGCTTCTTCCTTCGACGAGTCGCCCTTGTCTCCGGAGCCTAACCACCTCAGCTGCTACTTCAAGCCTTCCATCTACGACGAGCCTTCGCAGCACAGCCGTGACACCTCTGTCAACTCTTTCAGCCGCTCTGAAGTTGCCCCTGTCCTCCCTCAGCGCGCCCCTTCGCACAGCAAGCACGCCCACCAGTTGAGCCACAAGCGTTCAATCTCTCGTGAATTGAGCCACAAGCGTTCAATCTCGCGCAACCCTCCTTCTTTCCCCGAGGACGTTATCACCACCAGAGACTCGACCGACTTCTTCCGTGCTTCTGGCCCAGTGTCGCCGCACCCCTTCGGCAAGGAGCTCGAACAGCTCAGCGAGGTCGCCGAGGAGTTTGGCACCACCGTTCGCGATGTTGAGGCTGATGCAGACCGTGTTTTCATGGACGCCCATGGCTTGGACCATTTCACTGCAGACGACTACATGATGGAGATTGCAGACATGCTCAACGTCATTTTTGAAGAAGAACCGACGCCGTACGAGGAGGCTGGATGGATCTGATTGCCGCCCACAAATGTCAAGCAACGGTCGCAAGGCTGGTAACTTGCGGGACCATGGCATTTTCTATCCTCCCCTTTGCTGAGGGAACTCCGATACGACTCTTCACTTCTTGTCGATTTCACGTCTGACTTCTTTACTTCTTACTCTCTTTTGTTTACGTTATCATGGAAGACTGGGCCCTGATGTATTACTGGCGTTGGGATATGGATGTTTCCCCAAAAAGGGCTACGATGACACGAAATACTCGGGCAGTCTTCTTGGGAGAAGGCAATACCTTTGTCCCGTTCACTCTTTATATTCTTTATTTTATGACCAAAATTCAGGCCATACAGCACTCTGGGAAAGGTGGAACACTGTTTTGCGTAGCTAGATGTAGCAAATGCACTTCTAAGCTCGTTCTCTGACCTTCTGATTGAATCTTCTCTTGTGCTAAGTATCTGTGACATGCACTTCAAATTCCAACAAGATCGATATACCGCTATGATGCTTTCATTCCAGGACTGGTCACCAGATCAATCGAAGAGAGTGTCAATCTCGGCATCTACCTTTTGGAAGTGAACTGATTTGGACGAGCAAGTCAGTTTCTGCCCCAGGTTGTCCATCGACGGTAATTAGCATGCACGGAAATTATGCCGTGCGAGCCGACACTATTATTGCCGTCAAGTCTCCCAGAAAGCAATGATCAATTCACGTTTTGGACAGCACAGGAAGAGTTGACAAGATGTCAAGGGTAGCCAAAGGAGGGGTTTAGGCGGTCAAGGAAATCATGGCGGTCAAGAGAACAAGTGTACAGTAGAGAAGGCATAGCCGGATATGCCAGGTGGCAGCAAAGACATGGAGATGTAGTAGTGTATAGACTAGTTGAAACCCCAGGCATCAAAACAAGGCAACTAGCATGGCTTCACTAATGCCGAGAAGGATGAGCTGGAGTGCATAAAGAGCCTCATGCCGTGCAGTACACAACGTTGGCTGATCGACAGAGGTTATAGCGGTGTATCTTGTCGATTGACGATAAGCTGGAGCTGATTCAAGGCAGATAGCCGGTAGAAAGATGGAGCTTGTACGGACAATAGAAAGCACTTTCCACTTGGATAGATCGAGCTGGTGCATGGAGGCGGCAGGTTTAAGAGCGATGATCCGACGGCAAGAGCCGAGGCGGAACTAAGGGCTTTGGCTTTGCGGATTGATGAGGACCAAGCAAGAGTGGGACGGCGCAGCGTGGATAAACAACAACAACAACTTTTCTCCCACACAACTTTCCTTCCTGCCAGAGCTTCGTCTATCGTGCTGTCGCATCTCGTCATTGACCCCAAGTTCATCCATCCATCAGAATCGCTATTGCACCCAGCTCAACAGCATCCCTTTTGTTGCTGCCTGTCGCCCCCTCCAAAGCCATTGTTGCGCCAGACCTGATTGCCCCGCTCGACCGCCGTGGTTTGATACCAACACAGGCGCATCCGACAGCGCATCTCTTCCAACCCAGCTTTCACCACTGCTCGACAACCCAACTCCACACTTTTCTTTGAGAAACATTGCGAATCAGGGGCTCCACAACAGTCACCGCTTGTCTCTCACGCGACATCCATAACCGCTCTCTTCCAAAGCTCTTAATCAGCCCGCCCCTCCACCTTTCAGCTTCAACCCAATCAACCCTTCACAATGGTCAACATGGACATCGACGCCACACGCCGCAACAAGAAGCCGCGTCCTCTGAGTGAGTCTGAGCGCGAGCGTTTGGACGAGTTCATCGAGAGCATCCACTACTCTTCAAGGTGAGTAGATCTTTCATCCACTTTATCGCCAAAGCTAATGTGTGCAGATACTCCGATGATCACTTCGAGTACAGACACGTGCAGCTGCCCAAGCAGATGCTGAAGGCGATACCAAAGGAATACTTTGACGGTTCGCGAGGCACTCTCAAGCTGCTATGGGAGGACGAGTGGAGAGCATTGGGCATTACCCAGGTATGTGGCTAGGTCTAATCACAACACAGAAACCAGAAACTGATCTTGCTTGCAGAGTCTTGGATGGGAGCACTACGAGGTCCATGAGCCTGAACCGCACATTCTGCTCTTCAAGTGAGTTTTACCCTCTTACACACAGCAGGAGCCAACGAGCTGACAACAACTCAGGCGCCCCATCAACTACCAACCCCCAGTGCACTAGGAGCCACTGCCAACGATGAAGACGACGGTGATGACATGACCTCCATGATGCTCGACTGCTATTAGACCTTGTTCCCCTTCGAATCTCTGATCGAATCGCAACTCAAGCCACGACTTTGTCAGAGCGATCCACGTACTCAGCCACCCTGTAACAGGCACAGAGCACAGCTGGGGCTTGAAACACAGATCCAAAAATATAAAATACAGCTTTTCCTTGTACCAACCCTTCCAGATTCGAGCACCAGACACTGGGGCCAAGCAAAAACACAGTCTCACACATCAATCGTCGCCGAACAACACACATACTTCCTTATGGCTTTGTCTCAGTCAGGAAGCTTTGCTTTGCTATTTTCTGATCATTGATGACCACGCAACTTGGTGTTCCGAGCGAGGGACGATGGGTATTTGCTTTTCTTCCGAGCTTATGGTTTCATTTGCACACTGCATGGCGTTTTCTAAGTTTTCTTCTCTTTTGCTTTGGTACAAGGGCGTTGCATTTGTTGGGTTTTGTTTCTTTGCAAGCCTACTTTCCAGGCCTTGCAAGGATACTCGGCGAGCAGGGAGCAAAGATGATTTTCAGCGCCTGGACAAACTTTGCTTCTTTTCCTTTTTCTTCTACCTTGTACAGATGGGGCTTTCCAAAAACGAGTATTGTATCTAGCTTGAGGAGAGAGATGGCAATGAAAATGAAAACATGTCAAACTAGAATGCTCCTCGCAGTTTGTGACATGTAAGGCTAGGAAGAAGTCATTCATCCATTGATATTCAGACACCAAGGTTTGTTGGCCTGGTCAAGATAGCGGAATTGTAAGATGGTCTAGAGAGCACAATTACTCTAGCTCTCTAGATGGATACCGAGGGTAGCATTTAAACTTCTATATACCTCGGCCTTGACGATTAAAACACTGTCTAATTAAGGTTCTGCTGCCGGCTTTCCACCCTATATCATTTTGAGACGGACGAACCCACCGTACAGTAGGGACCTAAGATAGAGGTTGTACGATACCCTACTAGTCTCTCACGCCTTGAGGTTACAAGAACTGAACTTGGGAAGAGTAGGAGCATTCCATGACCTACTCAACTAAACACGCCGCCCTTGGTTCTAGAGTTCGGGTGCTCGTTTCTGATCGGCAGAGCTGTGACGGTCTGACCTATGCGGACCTTGACAGCGTCGAAAGATACAACCATGTTCTCGCAAAGCTCCTTGAGAATAGATTCCACAGCTGGTTGCATCTTGAGGTTGTCGTCTTCCAGGTTTCGGTCCGGCGAGGGTAAAGACCAACCAATGCTAATGTGGAAGTATGGCGAGAAGTCGCTGCTTCCTGCTTGACGCTTAAGTTTGGTGTAGAGTTGAGGTTGGTTGAAGTCCTGGGCGACCTTGTTGCAGGCTCTGAGCAGTTGGTTTAGTAGGGTTAAGGCACTCGTGTCTTGGCCTTGGTCGGCATCTTGGACGCGGAGGACTAGAAAGTATCGACTGCTATCGTCATTGCCATGCCATGAGAGTGAGGCAGGTCGTACTGCAATTGGATGTCGCAGTGAGCGAACGATCGGAGTTACGGCTTCTGTGATGGTCTCCAGGAAAGCGTCTTTATTTCCGGTACGCAATACTAGCGGAGCACTTAGAGAGATGTGTAGAGGCAAGGATACTTGTAGTGGAGTTTGCAGCAGAGAGTGCACATTTGACGACTCTGGCAAGGCTTTGAGCAAATTGTTAAGTTTGTCGTGTTCAGCAGGTGATGGCAGCCCTGCGAAGGCTGTGTAAGTCGGGCTGTGTGTTTTATTCAATCATTGCAAAGCCTCAACATACATTCGAGATAGACATGGGTGGGCCAATTCCCTTGAACATGCTTGACGACGCGTTTGCGGCCGTGGTGCAGAGAAGGATCGTCGGTGTTGCTGACGCGGACGCTGGACGAGTATAAATTTAAAAACGACGCTGGCAGTGGTGGGAGGTCGTCTTGCTTATGGTCATGGTGCTTCTTGGGGCGCTTGGCTACAGGCTCGTCGATGTCGTCTTCAGAATCTGAATAGGCGACTAGTGTCATTGGATTCGGTGCCAATAGCACTATCGACGGATCAATAGATGACCGAGGGGGTGGAAGTGGGCGGATGTCGAGGGTCCGGGGAAAAGAAGCTAATGACATCTGTTGAGCGTGCGCGGCATGACGTACCTTCCCAAAAAGTGTGTGATGCGAACAACGACGAAAGAGCCGATGAAGGAAGTGCGGCCCAAGGAGGATCATGCTTATTTTAAAAAACTGCTGTACCTGCGCGTTCCTGCCGACCTTCCCTTCCTTTCATCTTGCTTCTTGCATCTAGTGCGACAATCGATCTGAACTACATCGAATCTCAAACTGAATCATGTCAAGTGTCAGCGCCAAAGAGGTGAGATCCGAGCTTTCTCTTCGTATCACTCTGAACCCCACTCACATTTTACCTACAGGCTCAGGCCTATCTCATTGACCCTCTCAATGCCCCGGAGCCTTCTCAGGAGACTGGTCCGGGTTCGCACTTCTACCCTCCCGGAACCACCATGACTGCCTCTCCCACAGCAACATCGCCTACTATGTCGTCTCCCTCGTCGTCCAAGAATCCTTTCCGCGACTCGATGGGCGGAAAAGGCCCTCAGACACATGTCCGTCAAACTAGCAGAAGTTCAACCGGCAGCAATTCGAAGTTCCCCGATTTCCACGAGGTCCCTGCTTCTCCCCACCGTCGCAACTTCAGTGGTGACCACTCTTCTTCCCACCGCCGCAACTTCAGCGGTGACCATCTCATGGACGAGTCGTTGGGCAACCGCCCTCGTAGAACCAGCTCGCTTAGTCAACGCTACCCTGGTGACACATCAAACCAGCCTCTGAACATGCTTAGAAAGGATAGCAAGAAGGCCTACCGCTCTCCTCACCTCAACAAGCGTCACATCCCTGGTGCCGACACAATCGACCGTCTCGACCCTACTCCCAGCAAGATTCCCTACCACCACGAAGGTCCCTATGATGCCGCTCTATTGGCTCGTAACACCAGCTACAACAGCAGCCCCATCGCTGCCTTGGAGGACTCTAACAGAGAAGCACTCAAGGCCACCCCTGCCGAGAAGATTAAGGATTCTCTCGAGAAGCACATGCCCCTTGATGGCGTTGCTGTTGTTCCTCCTGGTCAACGTGACCAGCTTGGTCGTGTCTACAACTACGAGGAAGGAACTGATATGATGCGTGAGGCCAACCCTGAGGGTGGTGCTTACAAGCGCTGGCCCGGAGAGGTGAGTTTCCTCTACATCATTGCATTCCGATTAACATGCTGACAATTTCTCAGGAATATAGTAAAGACGATCTCAAGGGCAAGGGCGAACCAGCATTCTCCCTCGACCGTGCGCTCAAGGCTCACACCATTCACGAGCGTGACTTTGATGGCCAGCGTGGCATTGAGCTATCAGACCGTCCGCTTATGAGCGACTATGACAAGATGAAGGACAACAAGAAGCTTGACGACCGTGATCCTGTCGAGATTGCCGGCGGAGAATCACAATACGCAAATCTCACAATGGCTGCCGACACTGATGCTCACACCATGAACCGAACAAGCAGCTTGCGCAGAGCAGGCGAAGGGCTCAAGAAGAGACTGAGCTTGAGAAAGAGACACCAGGATGATTAAGCCTTTCATGTCTCTCCGACTTTTCTTTCTTATTTCTCTTACATATTCACTTGCAGCGATAGATTGTACATCATCAGGATGATGAAGGATGATTGGCATAGGACAGGCCTAGATGGCCCTTAATAGATTGTACGATACGACAGGATGACAGGTTGCCAGGATTGTATGAATAATATATTACATTATGACATCTGCATAATCCAACGAAGCATTTTGATACTATCCCCCAAGTGGTTGAAACAGCCAATCTTCAAAGTTTGTTCAGGAGATTGGCCAGATCTTCCGATCCTTACCTTTAGCAGTCGTTCATGTCGTCGAACCTTGTTTGTCTGCTTTGAGGGTTGAGTTCCAAGTGGGCGTATGAGCGGTCGGGATCCCCTGGCGTTCGGCGAAGCTTCCCAAGACATTGCGGATCAAATTGCAAGATACATCATAGCTGCGCCCGCCAACGAGCCCAAGCCTCGAGATAGATATCATACTCATGCATGAATCTGGAGAGCTCATCTAAGGTACTCTGAGTTCCACTCAAATGGTGGAATGGTGGCCAATGTCGCTGGAGTATGCTACAGTGGGTAGTTGAGGGTATGACCCTGTCATGATTGCTTCACGACCACAGAGGTGATGTATCTCGAATGTCATTACAAGTACCTTTGTAGACGAAAAGAGCAGCTCGTAAAAGACGGGACAGAATAGACTGGTCATGATATTTATAAAGATACGCTTTTTCTTTCCAAAAACACATTACTCCGACATGCTCTCCCAACCGCGCTCATCAGCACCAGCCTCATCCTCGTTCTCCTCGTCCTCATCGCTGTCACTCTCCTCTTCATCGTTGGCAACAGCGACGAGTCTCTCCTTGACCTCTGTGGCGTCAATGCCCTTGACACGGCCAGCAAAGGCTTCACGGACGGCTCTGTTGGTGCTGGTATCCCAGACCTGGACAGCACCCTTTGATCCCGCAACTGAAAGACGGAAAGCGACTGCCTCGTCAGGAGCAAAGTTTGCAGAGAATACACGACCGACACCGAGGTCGCGTGAGACGACCATGGAAGGTTGGTTGGTGGTTTGATCAATGTTCCAGAGTTTGACTGTGCGGTCGGTGGATGCGGTGGCAATGAAACCAGGGACAGTGGGGTTGAGGGCGAAGGACGAAAGGGAAGCTTCGTGGGCTTGCAGGCGCCAGATGGCTTGTGTCTTTTCGGGGGATGAGGGTGGGTTGCGAGCGTCAAAGGCGTACAGGATACCGCTTTCTGTCGAGACGTAGAAGACGTGCTCGTTGTGAGGGTCCCAGCGGACTTGCTCGACGTCCGAGTCGACGCCCCAGCGCTTGGGCTTAGTGCCTTCTGCGGCACGCAGGTCGGCGACACAGACAGTACGGTCGTAGGAGCCGGTTAGGAGGACGGTGGAGTGGGCTTCGAAGGGGTGGAAGTGGAGGGCGCAGACTTTGTCGGTGTGGAAGTCGTTGTAGGACTTTGCGCATTGTTGTGTGCTGAGGTCCCAGAGCTTGACGGTGCAATCGGCCGAGGCCGAGGCCAGCAAGTTGCGGTGGAAGCGGTTGGCTGACAGGGCGAGGACCGAATCGATGTGGTATTTGTCGTTGATCTGCTTGCTCTTTCTCTTCTTCTTTTTCTTGGAGCCGGGCATGGTGGGTCCTGCTGAGATCTCTGCGGTGCCCTGACCGAGGACGGCATTGGGATACATGCAGTCGACAGTGTCAAGATCCCAAATCTCGATATCCGGGTCCATGGTACCAACGGCGACGAAGTTTGCCTTTTGACCCTCAGGCACGGGCTCACCAGGCTTGGAGATGGGCATGTTGAGCCATTCGACGGCCAGCGGAATGGCGGGCAGCATGATATCGTGGTGAACGTACAGGTTGTCGGCATCGTCCTCGTAGACGTAGCACTCGAGATGGGCGACCTCGTCTTCGATGCGGGCGGCCAGCAGCATGTTGTCGGTGGGCAAGATCTGCATCTCCTCGCGCTCCTCGTCGTCTGACTCCTCGCCTTCCTTGAGTGTGATGTATGGGTCTTCGGCGTTGGAGCCGTGGTATGCCAGGTTGCGTACGTTTCCGAACATGCTCAGAGAGCCATTGTTTTCTCCGTTTTCGTTCTCCTCAGCATCGTCGTTGTCGTAGTTTTCAAGGTCGTACTCCTTCAAGTCGTCATCCTGGAGATCGATATCTTGCGTCGCAGCACCGGTCGCATGCATCTCGTCGTCCTCGTCATCATCATCACTCTCATCCTTCTTAGGGACCTTCTCTCCAGTCAACTCTGCTTGGGCTTCAGCGAGATCATCCTTTGCGTCGTCGAGTTCCAGCTTGGCGAGTTTGGAGATGCGCTCAAATTCCTCCTCGTCAAACTGGTACTTTGTCGGGAAGGGCGCCGCGTAGCCTCGCGGCACCCACGTTGTTGCTGTGATCATAGACATGTTGTGTGCGTTATGTCCGAATGGTCAGGGAAAAAAATCCACCTTGCTCAGGCTGGAAACTTTGATAATTTTCGAGACGCGAACAATGCGGGGAAGGCGGCGCCGGAAGTGCCAAGGCCATCGCCGCAAGATGATACAGAACGTCAACAAGGCACATGCTTTTGGTGCCCTTTTGGAAGTGACTCTTGAATATAAAGGACAAGTAGTGATTATATAGCCCTGAGATTGCTTTCTCCAATCGTTTTTGATAGACACAGATCTATGAATCTGAATAGTAACTGTTTACGTGCTCACATGAGCCAAAGCCACCTGCAAACGTTCTCTATGATATAGCGCTTCTGTTCGGTAGTCATTTATGCCATCGCGTCACAAGCGTCTCGTTCTTTTGTCTTGAACTCCAGATCAAGCATATCTCGCAACTCGACAAATGTCTTCATTCAAACGACGCAAGCTAGACAACGACGGCGATGCCGAAGACAATGGCCACTTCGCTATAAGACCCTCAAAACACAACTCTTCTCACCGAGATGGCCCACGCCATGCACAGTCGCAAGGCGCAAAGCCGCGCCAGCAAGAGTTCGATGGCCCTGAACCTGGTGTCGATGCTCAAGACCAAACTGCCCTGGATCGCGACTGGTACCTAGGGGATGAAGGTGGTGCAACGCTCGGCGACGACTCACACAACCCATTTGGAGATGACGCCTCTTGGGAAGACCAGCAACGTGAGGCCGCTCTTCTGGAGAAGAAGATGGCTGCGCGTGCTCGTGGAAACCCTCGTGCTATGCAGAGACAGCGCGAAAATGACGCTTGGGAGACAAATCGCATGCTCACATCTGGTGTTGCTCAACGAAGAGAGTTGGATACCGGCTTCGAGGACGATGAGGATGGGACCAGAGTCCATTTGCTAGTCCACGATTTGAAACCACCGTTCCTCGATGGAAAGACTGTCTTCACGAAGCAACTAGAACCGGTATCAGCCGTCAGGGACCCTCAGAGCGACATGGCCGTCTTCAGTCGCAAAGGCAGTAAAGTCGTGAGCGAGCGACGTCAGCAAAAAGAACGAGCAAAGGCTGCTCAGGAGGCTACAAAGGTCGCTGGAACTGCTTTGGGCAATGTCATGGGCGTCAAAGAGGAGGATACCGATAGTGCTGCCCCAGAGCCTGCTGGCCAGGAAGAGAAAGGAGGCAGCAAATTCGCCGAACACATGCAGAAACAGAGCGAGGGTCAGAGTGCCTTCAGTAGAAGCAAAACACTCAAGGAGCAGCGCGAGTATCTACCTGCGTTTGCCGTTCGAGAAGAGCTGCTCCGTGTCATTCGTGACAACCAAGTCATTATCGTTGTTGGTCAGACTGGTTCAGGGAAAACCACTCAATTGACGCAGTTCCTGTACGAGGATGGCTACGCAAAACATGGCTTGATTGGTTGCACTCAGCCACGTCGTGTCGCTGCCATGAGTGTCGCCAAACGTGTCGCTGAAGAGATGGAGGTCAAACTGGGCGGTCTTGTCGGATATGCTATTAGATTCGAGGACTGTACGAGCAAAGAAACGGCCATCAAGTACATGACAGATGGTGTGTTGTTGCGCGAGTCTCTCGTGGAATCCGACCTCGACAAGTATTCATGCATCATCATGGACGAAGCCCACGAGAGAGCATTAAACACTGATGTTTTGATGGGTCTGATCAAGAAAGTGCTTGCTCGTAGGCGAGATCTCAAGCTGATCGTTACTTCTGCAACGATGAACGCTGATCGCTTCTCGCGCTTTTACGGCGGTGCCCCAGAATTCTTCATCCCTGGACGTACGTTCCCAGTCGACATCCAATACTCACGAAGCCCTTGTGAAGATTACGTGGACAGTGCTGTGAGGCAGGTCCTCGCCATCCACGTCTCTCAAGGCCCAGGAGATATCCTTGTCTTCATGACCGGTCAGGAGGACATTGAATGCACATGCGAGCTCATCGACGAACGCCTAAAACAGCTCAATGATCCACCAAAGTTATCTATTCTCCCGATCTACAGTCAAATGCCTGCTGATCTGCAAGCCAAGATTTTTGATCGTGCTGCTCCTGGTGTTCGCAAGGTCATTGTTGCCACCAATATCGCCGAAACGTCTTTGACCGTCGATGGTATCATGTATGTCGTTGACTCTGGATTCAGTAAGCTCAAGGTTTATAACCCTCGCATGGGCATGGACACACTACAAATCACACCCATCTCGCAAGCAAACGCATCTCAACGAGCAGGCCGTGCTGGAAGAACAGGTCCAGGAAAAGCCTTCCACTTATACACTGAGCGTGCGTTCCGTGACGAGTTCTACATTCAGACCATCCCTGAAATTCAGCGTACCAATTTGGCGAACACCGTTCTCCTCTTGAAATCGCTTGGTGTCAGAGATCTACTAGATTTCGATTTCATGGATCCTCCTCCGCAGGAAACAATCTCAACTTCCCTGTTTGACCTCTGGGCGCTGGGTGCTCTTGACAATTTGGGTGACCTTACAGAGCTCGGGCGACAGATGACCTCCTTCCCGATGGACCCTTCAATGGCCAAGCTTGTCATAACCTCATGCGAATACGGCTGTAGCGAAGAGATCTTGACGATTGTGTCAATGCTTTCAGTACCATCAGTCTTCTACCGACCGAAAGAGCGTATGGAAGAGGCCGATGCCGCACGCGAAAAGTTCTTCGATTCATCCTCCGATCACTTGACGCTGTTGCATGTATATCAACAATGGGCTGCTAATGGAAGACGCGACGGGTGGTGTGTGACACACTTCCTGCATCCCAAGGCTTTACGCAGGGCCGAAGAGATCCGCAATCAGATCCGCGATATCATGATCAGCAACAAGATGCAGTTGGTGAGCTGTGGCTACGACATGGAGATCGTCCGTCTCTGTATCTGCTCGGGTTACTACCATCAAGCTGCTAAGCGCAAGGGCTTGGGCGAGTACCTCAACTTGCGCACCTCTGTGTCGATGCAGCTACATCCTACCTCCGCGCTGTATAACTCTGGCGACCCACCAGACTATGTGGTTTACCACGAACTCATTCTAACCTCCAAGGAGTACATGTCGTGTGTCACCGCCGTTGATGCCACTTGGTTAGCCGACCTGGGAGCCGTCTTCTACTCGGTCAAGCAGAAGGGCTACAACTCCAAACTCAAGCGTACCACCGAGCAGGAGTTTAACAAGAAGGTCGAGATTGAGCAGCAGATGGCTTTAGACAGAGAGAAAGCAGCGGCTAGGGCCAAGCAAGAGGAAGACAAGAAGGTACGAAAACCTACCGTTAAGAAGGTCAGCGCCGTTGGCGCGGTCAGAAAGCCCATTGTACCTAAGCGTCGTGGTTTCTAGACTTGTAGATAGTTGTAATCTAGTCAGCGGCTTTCAAGCGCTTGGAAGATCCAGAAAGGGAAGATGCATCTACCCGTGCTATTTCAAGAGCGCAATCCTTCCTCCTTCTTTGAGTCAGGCGCGCGCCTACAAACGCTCTATTGGTATCTGTTGGTTGGCTTGATAGAAATTGCCTTTTGCATATGAGTTTTGCATATGAGGAGTTGTTCACATACAGCAAGCTCCTAATGTATTGACAGAGCGTCGACATTGTTGACTCGAGATGCAAGTACGTTGTTGTCGTGAGAGTGGTTGGCGAAGCAATATAGGTTCATCTCGCGCCAGCCACCACCACTCAGGCGTCAGCCAGCCGCTCGCAAGCACAGCCACCTGAGTCCAGCAGGAGGGAAGCGCGTGGCTCCCGCAGCCCTCCCGCAGCATACGTAACGGGTAATCGATATCAAGAAGACACTCCTTGGGAAAGAGGCCGCGGCCTACTCGTCTCCTTGTTTGCTCTTGCAGCTTTGCTCCTTGCCTTTCTGAAATCACTGTCTAACACAAACATCCTTCGCTCCTGCCCCAAAAGCAAGCCGGTGTGGTGCTGACTCGCCACTGCACTCCTGCGTTTGCATCCAAGGCGCCTCCTACTTTTAACTCCACAAATTGAGAAACTGTCAAACTTGCTGTCAAACCAAAACTCCTGGGGCAACGCAATAGTCGAAGAGAAGGCAACATATTGAGCATTTGTTTTCCAAGCATCTTCAACACTCGTTTCAGCTACAAATTCCTGGATCCCACTTCGACATCGTTCGTTTGATTCGCGCTGTTCTCCTATGGCGCCCTCGCATTTGCTTTTCAAACGCGACTGCGATTACCCTGGCGATCCTGACTGTAACGATGACTACGATTGGTGGTGGAGCGGTGTATGTCTTCACGAACTGTTTGCGAGATGAGAGAAACAAGGACTAACCATTTATTCACAGACTGGCTATGGAGTCCGTTATGCAATCATCGCTCTAATCTTCATCGCTATCGCCCTGTTGCTCTTCGGCGCCTACTTCCACGCCCAACGCAGAATACGCAAAGGTCTGCCACCCCTCGCCTACCACCGCTGGCTCGTCTCCCGCCGCAACTACAGAGCTACACCATTCCGCCAGAACAACCACACCTATTACCAGCAAGACCCTGCATACCCACCGCAGCAAGGCTACCCTATGCAGAACATGGGCCATGGACCTGCTGAGTTCCAGCCGCCACCACCTGCATACGGAAACTGGGATGCGCCGCCAGTCTACCAGCCTCCTCAAGGCGCGAGCAAGGTTGCAGCCAACCAGAACACTCAGTCTGTGGCTAGAAATGAAGTCGCTGGCGAGGGAAGCAGCACTTCTTTGCCACTCAACAATGCCCAGAACAATCACAACACCCAGTAAGAAGCTGGCAGCCTAGGCTGGCTCGATCCTGACTTGACACGAAAAGATACCCGGTTTCTTCTTTCCTTCGATCATCATCATCCTCATGTTTTTCCTTTGTCCCTTCTCGACTAGCGACATTCTGATAAAGCTTCTGGCGTTATCCCAGCATGGTGATGGAGGCGTTTTTTTGTTGCATGGGTCCTTCCAGGGTCGCGTATTAAAGCATAATGTATCCACGATTCAGAGAGCATACGCAATGGAGAAAACTCAACATGCGTTTCGTCATAATCATAAACCTCTTTCCCTCTTTCTCTACTCGCAAGTGCTCAACATCTTCTTGATGACGCCAACCAGGGTGCCGTTCTCCATAGCAGCAGCAACACGCTCCTTGTCGCCGAGTTGCTTGTTGGTAGCCTCATCACTGGCATGTGTACCTTCCTTGATCCTCACATCAATTCTGAACCTTGGGGGCAGTGATTGCTCCAGTCTCACACGCACACCCAGCCCGATAACAGTAGCCAACGAGCAGTGAGTAATAGTCGGCGTGACCAAGACCCTCACAGTCGAAATCTTTGACGTCGGCGACGAAGGCGGCAAAATAAAGATATCCGGCAATGAAACGACAGCCAACGAGCCCAGCGATAGAGGATGTTCCGGGTCCGAGATTGTGCTGATCAAGTCGAAGATTTCCTGCTCGTCGATTTCTTCGCGCATGTCGTCGTCATCGTCAGAAACATCGTCGGAAGAGTTTGAAGGGATGGGAGCGGGGAACGAAGAGCCAGAAGTCAGGTTGTCGTAGTGGGGGTAGGAAGGGATCAGGCCATCGAAGAGACCGGCGCTTTTGGTTTGGTTTTGGGAGGCGAGGCGGCGGGAGGGCAGGTCGCTTGGGTTGAGGATGGCGGGGTTTGCGTTGTCCTTGTCCATTGTTTGTATTTTTCTTTTGTGTCTTGTGTTCAGGTTCTTTCGGTTCTTGGTGTGACTTTGGAGATGATAAGGACGTGGTTGTGGGTCGAAGTGGGTTGAACGCTCTGTGGTGGGGCGAAGTAGAGAAGAAAGAAGAAATATTGGAGAATTAATTATGACGCCTTGCTGCTGACCATTGGCACATATTGATTCGTCCTTTCCTCTGCACATTGTTTCTTCCCTCTTGTCATCAGATCACACCATCCTGCTCTCTCCACTCGCTGATCGTCTCTATGTTCTCGGTATCATCGAGCACAGTTGGTCTGTCCAGAGTCAACATCTCAAAAGCAAATGAGCTTCCATTGATCACGTAAGTGTCGATTTCTTGTCTCGAGCTGACGGATCTCCATGCTGCGTGCTTCTGGAAAACATTGTGCATCTTTGAAAGCTGATAAAACATGCAACAAAGGTGACTGATGAATATTGCACATGTCCAGAAAATCAGATGACCGATAAGTCAAATCTTTCAGTGCAGACTGCCTTCAATTATATGATTGCAACCCCATGCGCCGTACAATATATCGCCAAGGCAGGTGTACATCATCGACACATAGTCGGTGTGATCTGATCAAGCAAAGAGTGATAGTGATAGACACATTGCTCTTCTGACGATTTGAGAATCGCTCTTGTCAAAACGCCACGAGTATCTTCTTGCTGTCAGAAATCGAGATGAAGGCTATTGCATCCGGTAACAGCGCAATTGTAATTGCTGGCAAAGACCTAGTATCTTTGTTATGGTATAGTGGGCTCATGAGAAGAGCCAATGGAGAACTTATTTCAGTAAGCAATGATGCTTGCAACATCAGGACAGCAAAACATTCTAGAATACAAAGTTGATCATGGAAGGTTCTATAGAATAGTGTACAAGTTGATGGAATTTACACTCCCGCTGCCTGGCGCATAAAGAACTTTTTGAGGAAACCCATCTTGTCGACTGCGTCAAGTCCAAGACTTCGTGCCCAGACAACAGGACCACTGCCAGCACTGTAGAGCTTGTGCAGCTTGTCTACAGCACCCAGCATGGCATTGTTCTTTGCCCACTGTTCGGCATTGTATGCATCTAGAGCCCAGTTGCTGCCAATATCCTTACCCACAGAGAGGGAGAAATTGATGTGCTTGGCAAGCGACTGAGCATCACCAAGCCCTTGATTCAGACCCTGGCCAGCAAGAGGGTGGATAGTGTGTGCAGCGTCTCCAAGAAGAGCAACGCGATGGCCAGTATAAGTGTCTGCATGACGCATGCGTAGAGGGAACGAAGCGACGCTGCCTTCTTGAACGGCTGAGATCTTTTGTGGAATACGCTCAGAGTTGAAGGCGGTGTTGGCTTCACGCCATGAGAACTCGTCAGCTTGGCCAGACTTCATGGTGTGCATGTAATCAAGGTCTACAGGCAAGAGTCTGAAAGCAGCATTGACCATTGCAGTGAAGTCCGTGTTGCTGAGCGACTTCAAGAGAGCAGCCTTCTCGGGTGTCGTCGACCATACCAAGGTAGCCACGTTGCCAGGTAAAGGCAGTAGCGCGACAGGGCCAGTAGGGAGGAAGCGTTGATATGCGGTTCTGTGGTCAGTCTGACCCCAGTTGGCACCATCAATTTGCACAGTGGCTACAACGCCATGGCGATTGTAGTCCCAGCCGCGCGAGGGAATTCCAGCAAATGTGCGTACGGGACTGTTTGCTCCGTCTGCGCCGATAAGGAGACGTGCTGCTAATTTGCGCGAGTTGTTCAGAGACACGACCGGCCAGTTTGACAAGTCCATATTCTCTGTTTCTTTCCCAAGCTCAATTCCCTCAACGCGCGTTTTGTCCATTATGTCGATTGAAGGTAATGAGTTCAGACGGGACAGAAGGGCGGATGTGAGATTGGTGTTCTCTGTCATGGTGGCCACTGTATCCGAGACGTTTGAGGACGACGAAGGATCGAAACTGATGCTGCTTCCAGACACACCATCCCACACCTGCATGGCCTGATATGGCTGCACGCGAGACGCAGTGATATGCTCCCATGCTCCAATACTATTCAAAAACTTGACTGAGCCGGGAGTCAGGGAGCTACATCTGTTGGAGAAGGTTGTTGACTCGGCTTGCACCTGTGGCTTGTTGAGATCTTGTCCCTCGACTAGGGCAATTTTGAGGTTCGCGGTCTTGGGAGAAGCACCTACACATCTCAGCACTTCAATTCTACGCTATACATGCTGTGCCTAGTCTTACGAAGGGCGCTGAGCAAGCTCAGTCCTGCTGGACCGCCACCAACACACACGACATCATAGATTTGTGGGCCTGTTGGTACAGGCGCAGCAGCGGGCGTCGTCCGTGACCAGAATGATCGAGAAGCTACAAAGACGTTCGAATATCTCGAGGATACTCTAGAGACTTCACATGGTGTTCGGGGGAGCCGCAGCGGCATGCCGGCGTGTATTATGGCGAGGATGGAAGATGGAGTGATTGCGCCGAAGTCTGTTCTACAGATCTTGGAAGGTCTTCGGCACAACAGTCTCCGATCTTTCGGGCTATGGTACAGCGAGCTTGTGCGTTGCTTGCTGATTGGCCCAAACTTCTACTTGTAGAAAACATGGCTACAACATGTCCTTTTTGTTCTTCGGTCCGTTTTCAGAAGCGTGAGCACATGAAAGATGCAATAAGACCACCCTCACGTGTTTGTAGTCAGCAAAAAGCGTTGATTCGCCAGGAGGGGATGGAAATGGTCATCTGAGCATGGAAAATCACATGTTAGGTTGCCGACCGTTGCCCGCCCCCTCATCCCGTACCCCGGAATTTTGCGCCTTCCTGCTGCGTTTGACGGAAACAAAGAGCGGATTCAGGGACCTTCAAGCAATTCCGTTGCCGACCCCATGTCCACATGTGAAGGAGCTCGAGGTGCCTCTTTTGAGAAGACTGGTAGTGTGTAGCCAATGGCTAGTCGATCTCAGAGTCTTGAAGGCAATCGAAGTAGCCGCGTCCAGACCTATTGCGGTTTACTAGGTTCTGTTCGGTTGTTGATGATCAAGGAAGGCAGGAAGGCAAACCTTTGGAACCTTTGGCTCGAGGGTGCCTCGGTCAATGATCTCCATACCTTCCCCCCACATGTACTTAGCGCATGTGGTCGGTCCATCCATTAAACACCCTTGAACCCTCGTCTCTGGCTCGTTGCTCCTTTCTTCCCATTATTCTATTCATTTCTTTGTTATTTGTGATACCCCGTCTCTTCTACAATGCCTGCGAGAGTCATCGTCGTTGGTGCTGGCCGTAAGCATCTATACTCATCAACTATCCCTTCGAGCGTGGCACTGATAGCGACTAGTCTCCGGCCTGAGTGCCGCTCACACTATTTACCTAAATGGCGGTAACGTCGTTCTGCTCGACAAGAACAGTAAGACCTTACGATCTCACCGAAACAACTCGACATGCTGACATATCATCTATAGACTTCATGGGAGGAAACTCGACCAAAGCTACCTCTGGAATCAACGGTGCCCTTACTCGTACACAGACCGATCTCGGCATTCAGGACAGCGTCAAGCAATTCTACGAAGACACTCTGAAGTCAGCCAGAGACAAGGCCCGACCAGATCTCATCAAGGTTTTGACCTACAAGTCAGCTGGTGCCGTTGAGTGGTTGCAAGATGTCTTCAACCTCGACCTGACACTTGTTTCTCGTCTCGGGTGAGTTTACGCCCAGAAAGCTGTAACGAACCACATACTGACCCAAGCACAGAGGTCATTCATTCCCCCGTACTCACCGTGGTCACGATGCCAAGTTCCCTGGTATGGCCATCACATATGCCCTGATGCAACGATTCGAGGAGCTTGCCGAGTCCGAGCCCGAACGCGTATCGCTCATCAAGAAAGCCAAGGTCACCAAGATCAACAAGGAGGGAAACAACGTCACTGGTGTCACATACCTCTTCAACAACGAGGAGGTCACTGTCGATGGCCCAGTTGTCCTCGCAACTGGAGGTTACGCTGCCGACTTCACAGATGACTCGCTCCTGAAGAAGTGGAGACCCGACACATTCGGCCTGGCCACAACCAACGGTGCCCACGCCACTGGCGATGGCCACAAGATGCTCATGCAGATTGGTGCCAACGGTATCGATATGGACAAGGTTCAGGTCCACCCTACTGGTTTGGTCGACCCCAAGGACCCTGGCTCCAAGTGGAAGTTCTTGGCCGCTGAAGGTATGTATATGCAAAGCCCTTGTTCGACATACATGACTAACAGATGACAGCTCTTCGTGGTGAGGGTGGTCTCCTGCTCAACAACAAGGGTCAGCGTTTCTCAGACGAGCTCGGACACCGTGATTACGTCTCGGGCAAGATGTGGGAGGAGAAGGAGAAGGGAACATGGCCAATCCGTCTTGTTCTCAACTCCAAGGCATCCAATGTTCTTGACTTCCACACTCGCCACTACTCTGGTCGTGGTTTGATGAAGAAGATGAGTGGCGAGGAGCTGATCAAGGAGATCGGTTGCTCAAGAAAAGATCTTGAGAAGACCTTCGGCGACTACAACGAGATCGCAGATGGCAAGCAGAAGGACCCTTGGGGCAAGAAGTACTTCCACAACATGCCTTTCAAGGTAGACGACACCTTCCACGTCGCTGTCATGGAACCCGTTCTTCACTTCACCATGGGCGGTATCGAGATCAACGACCAGGCACAATGTTTGAACTCTGAGGGAAAGCCCTTCGACGGTCTCTTCGTCTGTGGTGAGCTCGCTGGTGGTGTTCACGGTTCCAACCGTCTCGGTGGCTCGTCCCTGCTCGGATGTGTCGTCTACGGTCGTGTTGCCGGAGACTCAGCAAGCAAGTATCTCTTCCAACAGGTGTTGAATGGTGGCGGCTCCTCAGCAGCCCAACGTCTGGGACAGATCAGTCTCCACATTGATCCTAACCAGCCTGGAAAGATCTCTGTCGAGTGGGCAGACGGTGTTGGTGCTTCTTCAGGCGCCAACGATGCCATCAAGAGACAGTCACAGCAATCCGCCGGTCCAGTCATGACACCCGCGGGCAAGACTGCAGACTCGTCTGACCCTGCTAAGGTGTCCAAGCCCAATGACATCAAGGACTTCAAGGTTCCTGAGACTGAGTACACTCTTGAGGAGGTTGCCAAGCACAACAAGAAGGAGGACCTTTGGATTGCTGTCAAGGGTGTCGTCATGAACGTGACTGACTGGGTGGAAGAGCACCCTGGTGGTCCTCAGGCTCTCTTCAGTCACATGGGCAGAGACGCCAGTGAAGAGTTCGAGATGCTGCACGACGACGAGGTCATTCCCAAGTACGCTGCCGGCATCGTGATTGGCCGAGTAAAGGGTCAGGAAGTTACCCTTGAGTATTGATCAAATATGTATGATGGGAAAATGATATGAATGAGTTTTCTTGCGTGTTTCAAACTAGGCATGTGTGTTCTCCCTGTAGTTCTGGTTTATTATTTGAAGACTTGTTATCTTGACGCATATCTTCCACTGTACCTGTACCGCACTCACATAACGATATGCGAGCTAGGTACACCTTTGGTGCTCGACTCAAGATGTGCCTGTAGTATGCTGAATGAGGTATCGATTATTGGTACACATCTCGTGTTTGCTCACGAAGGATCACATTCTTATCTCGTTGATGAAGATGTTGAAAATAGTCAGACAAGCCACTCGAAAGCAATCATCCTCAGCAAAAGTCGGTTGAATCGAGTCCAACCAGATGAAACGCTGCTAAGATCATGGGTAATCCTTCTATATCGCCGTTGAAAAGATCTGCGCCAAACACCTGCAGGTTGTATGATACCTCAGCGCTCTTGCAGCATGCAGGTCTTGAAACGCCCCCCTCCTCAACATCATCGTCAACCATCTTCATCCTCTGGTGTTGAGAAGGATTTCTTGTTGAACGGTACGGAAGGATGGCATGACATGCGTTGTAGAGCTGAGAAGCTGACGCGTGCATGCATGTATGCTGTGCCACAAGAACGACCCATCGCTTCCTCCTTCGAGTCGGAACGATGCGGGAAGGAGCGAGTGAGGGAAACACCTTGATGTTCCTGGGGACAGCTGGGCTCAACTCCTTCCTTATCAACCATGTACAGCAAGTGGGGACAGATAAGAAAAAACACAAAGTGCAAACAGAAGTAATGGTAGAGTAGCTATTGTTACAATGTACAATACAGTATAGATTCGAGAAAACAAGCTGAGAGAGCTTTACTTGTAGAAATCCCCAAAGATACCCAAGCAAAAAACAACTCCTGAATGCCTAATTACAAAGACGTGTGGTATGTGTATCGTGCGTCTCTTCTTTCATACACCCTTTAGAGTGCTGTTTATCATGATCGAAACATCAACACCCCATTCCTGAGATTATCCTCTATTGCGAAGAAATGGCAACAGCAATGACCTGAGCGTCGCTGTGGCTGATGCTGACAGTGGTGCTCTTGATGCCCTTCTGCTCAGCAGCGGCCTTGGCATCTCCGTGAAGCTATATAAATGTTAGTGTGTGATTCTTTAAGATGAGTAGAATTTAAACTTACAACAACGGTGGGAGCACCGCCCTCGCCATTCACGATCTCAATGTCCTTGAGAGGAGCTCCGGCGCCGCGCGAGGCGACGTTGAAGCTCTTGAAGACAGCCTCCTTGGCAGACCACTTGCCGGTGAAGCTGGCCTGAGGGTTGGGTGCCTTGCGGCAGTAGTCGATCTCCTGCTGAGTGAAATTGCGCTCGAGGAAGGTCTCGTTCTCAATGTTGACGGCATCAATGCTCTCAACGTCAACACCGGGGCTGCTGTTACCAGATGAGTTGACCTTGAGCAACGACTCGACCATCTGAGTGGTGTTGGCGTCACGAGCAGGCTTGCTGGGCTTAGCAGAGAAGGTGAGCTGGGCAGTCTTCTTGTCCTGGGAAACGCGAGCGCTGGGGTTCAAGAAGACAGTGCTCATCTGCTCGTCCTCGTAAGGAGACTTGTCCTTAGCACGGAACATGGTGTTGTTGATGAGACCATCATGGAAGTAGCGGTAAGCCTTCTTTTGTCTGGCCTCAACCTTGGTCTTGTAAGACTGGAACTCAGCCTGGTCAAGAGTGGCGAACAGGTACTTGGGGTGGATACCAATAGCCTGAGCACCCTTCTGACCGAAACCGAAAGAGGTAACGGAGAAAGCCTTGATACCATCGGTTTGGATGGTTCTGCTGGGGTAGACGATGTAGTCGAACTTCTCCATGATCTTGTCCACGTTGTCGGCGTTGCGGTTACCGGGGACGATACCAGAGTTGAGGACCTGCAGACAGCCGTTGAACATCCAGGCACCAGCGGCACCCTTGGGGTGACCAGTGAGGTACTTCTGGAAGATACCAAGGAGAGCGTTACCCTTCTTACGGCCAAGGTGCTCCATCTGCTGGCAGATGACATCGGACTCGTTCTTGTCGTTGGCCAC